GAAAATGGCGGTCATTTTAACAAAAAGGTCAATTTTTTAGGGTAAACCTTTTTGTTAAAATGACCGCCATTTTCTTAAAAATCGAAATTTCGTAAAATCCCTACGTACACCATTAAAAATATTGTTGTTAATAGGAACATTCTTTGGTTTTTTTCTAGGAGCCACGTACAGAGCGGAATTTGACACGCCGTCTAACGGTATTCCTTCAATGGAATGTATTTTGGCGCCACCTACAAGAGATTATTTTTAACTTTTTCATTTTGTAATTACAGATTAAAGTTACATTAATGAATGACTAAAACCTTTTTTGTTTCTGCGCACACTTTGTATGCAAAAAAATTCATGAAAAACGCCTCCAAAATCGCAGTCAAAGGTGGTATCCTGCCTTAATCAATTATTTATACGTTACGTAAGGTAATAATATACAATTGCTGAGACGTATTAATAATGCATATTTATTAAAAAAGACTACTAATGACTAATGATGACTAATTTTAAAGATGTCAAGATATCCGTCAATAAAACAAAATCATGCATTGTGGAATTACATTATTTATGAAATATTAATTGCAGATCTTTCATCGCAAGACTGTGATATCTTCAAGAACTGTAGCACAATTAACATATATGTAGTGATGGTACCCACCATCTAAAAGGACAATATAAAACATGTTAAATTTTTTTAAATTAATTAAAACAACCGATCGATTACTCACAGCAGTGAGGAACGTTGCGTCCACATTGAAAGCTTTGGCAGAAAATGTATTTCCCCCATGCAATATTTGTAAGGAAAACAACTGCAACTGTAATGTTAAATTGTAACAGTGTCATATGGTTGGAAGATTTAATTATGCTTAAGTAGATATCACACATAAAAATCATAATAGTATAGTATCGTATGTTATAAGAAAAATATATAAATCATATTGCATGTTTACCTCATTTTTTATTTGCTCATTTCTGCTACTATTAAGTACATCATGAATCGTAGTACGGATCTTTTGAGCTTGATTCTTGCCAGTTTCGCAAGCCCACACAACAAATGTTAACTTTGTAATATGATATGTTATGATCATTAAGAACATGTTAGTGATTTGATCATTCGAATTCATAACTTTATCATACCATTGAATTACGTTGAAGTAATAGTACAGTCCTAAAATGATTTCAGTAAACCCAAGTGCTATTGTAGCAAGAAGTTGCAAACTGAAAATTATGTTCAACTTCTGTACTGTCTCGTTGATCATCAGATATTGCTTTTGCAGAGACTTAATTTTCATAATCAAGAGTGGATTTGTCTGCTCGTAATGAGATATGGTAACATGCAGTTCTTTGTTTATTGTAAATTCTTGTATATGTAGAAGTCTATTGTTAATATCCTTGTAACAGGCCTTCAATATGCAAACACAATTTATATACAGCATGTCCATTGTAAACAACAGTAAATCTGTATATAGGAAAACTATCATTTCCAAGCTATTTACGCCTGTGATGAAATAAAATCGAAAATTGGCGCACATTAAACAGGAGGTACCAAAGATGTCTTTGGAGTGAATTAATCTTGATAACTTCTGGTAAGGCTCTGGAGACAATCTCGAAGAGATCTGCATTACGGTTTGTAGCAAGCGCATTCGCAGCCTGCTCAAGATGAGTGTGACGATAGCTATAAAACCAGCCAATATACAATAGGTGCCTATTTCAAGAGACGCGGTTATGTCTTCAAACTTTGTAAAAATCTTAAAAAAATCGTACTGATACAGTATTCTCAGATGTAAAGCACATAATGCACAGGTAATTATAATCGATAAGGTATAAAGCGGTTTTGAAGTCTCGAAGACCGAATTGGTAACGTTGTATGGAAATGTTCCGACAATGCGGCACAATGTAAAGCAGGGATACATCAAACTTTGAAAATCTGTGGCATAAAAGAGCTGCCACCTTTTTTGCATTTTGCTGTTCACTTGTTTTTGAAAATTTATCAACATACTGATTAACAATGTTTTAGACGAACAATAGTTTAAACCTTATAAATATCAGCCTAGAAATTGTTAATCACGTTATTGACGCACTTGTAATACGAACAGGATTACAAAATCCTTCTTTTAGATTGAATTCTTAAGATTATTTTTCCACTACATATACGTAAATAGAAATAAACTCTTTTTTTTTCATTTACACTTAACAAGTGTCAGTTTATATGCGATATGCAATAATACTGCGAGCAGTTGCTGCGACAAAGTATAGAGTGTTAATCGGTCGTATGTTAGTCATGGAGTAACCATGGAGCTCCTTAATCTATTATTTACACTATGCGGTATGTAATGTAATAATAAGTAATTGCTGAGACGTACTAATAATGCATAGTTATTCAAAAAGGCTACTAATGACTAAGGATATGACTAATTTCAAAGATACCAAGATACCCGATATTAAAATAAAATAATACATCGAAGGTTGCAATTGTTATTATTGCACTAATAAACCCGTTACCTTACGTCATTGAAAAACTTAATTGATGTTTTATTTATAAATTCAACTTAAATTGCAAACAGTGTGCATCAATTGTACAAACTCCTTGGTAATTATACATATATGAAATCTTTAAGTATGATTATGTTATCATTTAAAAAATGATATTTGTGAAAGAAATAATAATTTAGCTTTTGGTGTATTGGTAGAAATATGTCGCTGCGGATGCATAAGCTTAATCATTACTAGGATTCCTATTGCATCGTCATTTTATATCTCCTTATTAAGTGTCACAGAAAAAGGAAAATTTTTAGAATATTTTATATAAGTATGACAGAGCGATCAAAATTAGTTTTTCACCCAGATATCTTTTTACTTAAACATGATACACAGAAATCTGAGCGTGCCACTTCTCGTCTCTGACGTTATGATTTCCAATACGGTCTTCGCGAGCTCAGGAATCTTAAATAAGATTTCAAACGTAGATTTCACACGTCGGTTATATATTTTTATTATTTTTATTATTTTTTATTATTATCCAAAATAAACTTTACTTTGTATTGAGTTTTATTTGCATTAATTTTTTAAATTCTTTAAATTTTTTAAACTTTAACGCAAAGGGTAAATTAAAACGTAAAATTGTTTAAGATAGTCAATAAAATGAAGAAGATATCTTCCTTCGAAATTTATTACGCCTTTTATTTTATTATATGGAATATTCGAGATTTATTTGAAATTTGAAATAAATTTTGTACGTTGGCATTAACATATGATAATGATAATATTTTAATTCACACATGATAAAATCTTATCTATGTACATGTATTTGTATATATACGAATAACTATTGCCAAATGTGAAAACAATTGTCTTTGTAATTTGTTATCTTTTTTGCAGAATTACATTATTCATGTAGTGTTAATTGTATATGTTTCATCGCAAGACTGTGACATCTTCAAGAATTGTAACAAAATTAACGCGTACGTTGTAATGGTACCCACCATCTAAAAGCACAAAATATAAACATATTAAATTTCTATAAATTAAAGAAATTAAACGATTAATTACTTACAGAAGCGAAAAATGTTGCGTCCACATTGAAACCTTTGGCCGAAAATCTATTTTCGCCATGCAATAATTGTAAAGAAAACAGCTGCAACTGTAATGTTAATTGCAAAAATGTTAGAGGAATGGAAGATTCAGTTATTATATTCAAGTAGATTTCACATCTGAACGCCACCATATAGTATATGTTATGAGAATGTTATAAGAAAGCTGTATAAATTATATTGCACTTTCACTACCTCAATTTTTATTTGTTCGTCTCTGCTGCTGTTAAGTACATCGTGAATCGTAGTACGGATTTCTTGTGCTTGATTCTTGCCGGTCTCGCAAGCCCACACAAGTAATGCCAATTTTATAATGATATCTATTGCGGTTAGCAAGAACATTATACTGAACATTTCATTCAAATTGATGATTCCGTTATACCATTTTACTACATGAAAGTAGTGGTAAAATCCAAAAATGATTGCAGAATAGCTTGATATTATCGTAGCATGAAGTTGTAAACTAAAAATTATGTTCAGCATTTGTACTGTTTTGCTGATCATCAGATGTTGCTTCTGCACGTTCTTGAGTTTTATTATCAGGAATGTATTTCTCTGTTTATAAAACAACATGGCAACGCGAGGTTCCTTGTTTATCATAAAATCTTGCATGTGTAGAAGACTATTGTTAATTTCCTTGTAACAGGCTTTTAATATGCAAACGCAGTTTATGTATAGCATGTCCATTGCAAACACTAGTAAAACTGTATATAGTGAGACTATTGTTTGCAAAAAAGGTAAGTTTGTTATATAGGTACATGTAAAAAATTTGCAAATAAGATAGAAGAAACCAAAGATATCCTTTGCGTGAATTAATCTTGATAACTTCTGGTATGACTCCAAATCCAGTTTCAAAGAGATCTCCATTATGATCTGAAGCAAGCGCATTCGCGACCTGCTCAAAACGAGCGTAACGATTGCTATGGAAGCGGCCGATACACAGTAGAAGATAATTTCAAAAAAAAAGCTTGTGGCCTCAAATTTTGTGACATTTATAAAAGTATTGTACTGACAGAGGATTGTGTATTCGCAAAGACATAAAGCGCAGGTAATGATAATCGATAAGATATAAAGTGGTTTTGAAATCTCGAACTTCAACTTATTGATCTTGTACGGGAATATTCCCAGGATGCGGCACAATGTGAAGCAGGGATACATCACACTGTGAAAATCTGTGGCATAAAAGAGTTGCCACCTTTGTGTTTTGCTTATCATTTGTTTTAGAAATATCCTCGACATAATTACTGAAATGTCATATGCGGACGAACAATAATCTAAATTGTCTGAATATTAGTCTAAAAGTTACTAATCACTATTATCAACACATTTTGAATTAATGTAAGCATGATTGTAAGATCCTGTTTTTTAAATTTAATGCTTAAATTAATTTTTCCACTGCATATGCATCAATCAAAATAAGCCCTTTCTTTTCCACATTTACACTTAACAAGTTCCAGTTTAATACTGTGAGCAGTTGTTGCAACGAAGTATAAAGTGTTAATCGATCGTATGTTAGTCACGAAGTAACCATGGAGCTCTTTAATCTATTATTTATAACATGTGGTACGTAATGTAATAATATGCAAAATTGCTGAGACGTACTAATAATGCATAGTTATTCAAAAAGGCTACAGGCTAATGGTTAATGGCTAATGATGACTAATATCAAAAATGCCAAGATACCCGATAATAAAATAAAATAATACATCAAAGGTTGCAAATGTTATTATTGCACTGATAAGCCCGTTACATTATGTCATTGGAAAACTTACTTGATGTAAATAATCAATCAATTGTTTCTACATAACTGGCTATGTATTTAATTTGTCACGACGTTTCGACTGCAAATCGCAGTCCTCTTCAGGTTTGTTTAAGAGACAAGCATTTACGGATACAAATTATTGTGGTAGCAATAAGTCTTATACGTAATGTTCGTCAAATAATTATAAATCGGTTCTTTGAATTCGAGCAACGAGCAGGATCCATGTGTCCATACATCTGACAATGAGAGTATATCACGATGGTCACAGCGCACACATCCGTCGTTAAGTCAGTAATGACGGTTACTTGATGTATTATTTATAAATAAAAATCCAAATTGAAAACATTGTGCATCAATTGTACAAACTCCTCGGCAATTACATATAAAATCTTTAAGTATGATTACGTTATCATTTAAAAAAATTATTACATATTTGTGAAAGAAATAATAATTTAGCTTTTGATGCATTGGTATAAGTATGTCGCTGTGCATGCATAAGCTTAATCATTACTAGGATTCCTATTGCATCGTCATTTTATATCTCCTTATTAAGTATCAAAGAAAAAGGATAATTTTTTTGGAATATTTTATATAAGTATGACCAAGCGATCAAAATTAGATTTTACCTAGATATCTTTCTACTTAAACATGACACAAGAAATCTTAATGTGCCACTTCTCGTATCTGATTTCGTTGACGATTTCGTTGACGATTTCGATGACGTTATGATTTCCAATGTGGTCTTGGCAAGCTCAGGAATCTTAAATAAGGTTTCAGATGTAGATTTCACACGTCGGTTATACATTTTTTAATATTATACAAAATAAACTTTACTTTGTATTGATTTTTTTATTTGCTAATTTCTTTTATTTTAACGCAAAGGATTAATTAAAATGTAAAATTATTTAAGATATTCAATAAAATGAAAAAAATATCATCCTTCAAAATTAATTATGCCTCTCATTTGATTATATGAAATATTCAAGATTTATGTGAAATTTGAAATAAATTGTCGTGTATTGTGACACTAACATTTACTATTAACATGATAATGATAATATTTTAATACACACATGATAAAAGTTTATCTACTTACATGTATGTGTATATATACGAATAATTATTTACAAATGTGAAAACAATTTTCCTTGATATCTTTTTGTAGAATTACATTATTCATGTAATATTAATTGCAGATCTTTCATTGCAAGACTGTGATATCTTCAAGAATTGTAACAAAATTAACATGTATGTTGTAATGGTACCCACCACCTAAAAGCACAATAAAAAATAAAAACATTAAATTTCTTTAAATTAATTAAATTAAACGATCGATTACTCACAGAAGCGAAAAATGTTGCGTCCATATTGAGACCTTTGGCCGAAAATGAATTTTCGCCATGTAAAGTTTGTAAAGAAAACAGCTGTAACTGTAATGTTAAATTGCAAAATTGTTACAGGATTGGAAGATTCAGTTATTATATTCAAGTAGATTTACATCTAAAAGCCACAATATAGTATATATTATAAGAATGTTATAAGAAAAGGGAACAAGTTACATTGCACTTTCACTACCTCATTTTTTATTGACTCATCTCTGCTGCTGTTAAGTACATCGTGAATCGTAGTACGGATCTCTTGTGCTTGATTCTTGCCGGTCTCGCAAGCCCACACAAGTAATGCCAATTTTATAGTGACATATATTGCGGTTAGTAAGAACATTACACCGTACATTCCATCAAAATTGACGATTCCATTATACCATTGTACTGTATGGAAGTAATGGTATAGTCCAAAAATGATTGAGGAAAAGCTTAGTACTATCGTAGCAAGAAGTTGCACACTGAAAATTATGTTCAGCTTCTGTACTGTGTTGCTGATCATCATATGTTGCTTCTGCAGATTCTTAAGTTTTATTATCAGGAATGAATTTCTCTGCTTATAAAACATCATGGTAACATGTGGTTCCTTGTTTATTATGAATTCTTGCATATGTAGAAGACTATTGTTAATTTCCTTGTAACAGGCCTTTAATATACAAACGCAGTTTATGTACAACATGTCCATTGCAAACACTAGTAGAATTGTATATACTCCAAATATCATATACATGATAGGAACGTTTTTTGTCACATAGGCATATGTAAATACTTTGCAAATAAGATAGAAGGAACCAAAGATATCCTTGGCGTGAATTAATCTTGATAACTTCTGGTAGGACTCCAGATCCAATTTCAAAGAGATCTCCATTATGATCTGAAGCAAGCGCATTCGCGACCTGCTCAAAACGAGCGTAACGATTACTATAGAAGCGGTCGACATACTGTAGCAGATCGTTTCAAAAAAAGTAGTTACGGCCTCGAATTTTGTGAAGTTTATAAAAGTTTTGTACTGATAGAGGATTGTGCATTCGTAAAGACATAAAACACAGGTAATTATAATCAATAAGATATAAAGTGGTTTTGAAATCTCGAACTTCAACTTATTGATCTTGTACGGGAACAGTCCCAGTATGCGGCACAATGTGAAGCAGGGATACATCAAACTTAGAAAATCTGTGGCATAAAAGAGTTGCCACCTTTGTGTTTTGCTTTTTACTTCTTTTAGAAATATCCTCGACATAATTAATGAAATGTCATATGCGGACGAACAATAATCTAAATTGTGTGAATATTAGCCTAAAAGTTACTAATCACTATTATCAACACATTTTGAATTAATGTAAGCATGATTGTAAGATCCTTTTTTAAATTTAATGCTTAAATTTATTTCTCCACTGCATATGCATCAATCAAAATAAACCCTTTCTTTTCCATTTACACTTAACAAGTTCTAGTTTAATACTGCGAGCAGTTGTTGCAACGAAATATGAAGTGGTAATTCGTATGTTAGTCGGGCAGTAACCATGGAGCTCCTTAATCTATTATTTACACTATGCGGTATGTAATGTAATAATAAGTAATTGCTGAGACGTACTAATAATGCATAGTTATTCAAAAGGCTACTAATGACTATAAGGATGACTAATTTCAAAGATACCAAGATACCCGATAATAAAATAAAATAATACATCAAAGGTTGCAAATGTTATTATTGCACTGATTAGCCCGTTACATTATGTCATTTGAAAATTTACTTGATGTATTATTTATAAATAAAAACCCAAATTGCAAACAGTGTGCATCAATTGAACAAACTCCTCGGTAACTCCTCGGTTAAATATGAAATCTTTAAGTATAATTATGTTATAATTTAAAAAATGATATTTGTGAAAGAAATAATAATTTAGCTTTTGATGTATTGGTAGAAATATGTCGCTGCGGATGCATAAGCTTAATCATTACTAGGATTCCTATTGCATCGTCATTTTATATCTCCTTATTAAGTGTCACAGAAAAAGGAAAATTTTTAGAATATTTTATATAAGTATGACCAAGCGATCAGAATTAGTTTTTTACCTAGATATCTTTCTACTTAAACATGACACACAAGAAATCTTAACGTGCCACTTCTCGTGTCTGACGTTATGATTTCCAATGTGGTCTTGGCAAGCTCAGGAATCTTAAATAAGATTTCAGATGTAGATTTCACACATCGGTTATACATTTTTTAATATTATACAAAATAAACTTTACTTTGTATTGATTTTCTTATTTGCCAATTTCTTTCATTTTAACGCAAAGGGTAAAATAAAATGTAAAATTATTTAAGATATTCAATAAAATGAAAAAAATATCATCCTTCAAAATTGATTATGCCTCTCATTTGATTATATGAAATATTCAAGATTTATGTGAAATTTGAAATAAATTGTCGTGTATCGTGACACTAACATTTACTATTAACATGATAATGGTAATGTTTTAATACACACATGATAAAAGATTATCTACTTACATGTATGTGCATATATGTATACGAATAACTATTTACAAATGTAAAAACAATTTTCTTTGATATCTTTTTGTAGAATTATATTATTCATATAATATTAATTGCAGATCTTTCATTGCAAGACTGTGATATCTTCAAGAATTGTAACACAATTAACATGTATGTTGTGATGGTACCCACCATCTAAAAACACAATAAAAAATAAACATTAACTTTCTTTAAATTAATTAAATTAAATGATCGATTACTCACAGAAGCGAAAAATGTTGCGTCCATATTGAGACCTTTGGCCGAAAATGTATTTTCGCCATGTAATGTTTGTAAAGAAAACAGCTGCAACTGTAATGTTAAATTGCAAAATTGTTATAGGATTGGAAGATTCAGTTATTATATTCAAGTAGATTTAACATCTAAAAGCCACAAAAAATATATTATAAGAATGTTATAATAAAAGGGTACAAGTTACATTGCACTTTCACTACCTCATTTTTTATTGACTCATCTCTGCTGCTGTTAAGTACATCGTGAATCGTAGTACGGATCTCTTGTGCTTGATTCTTGCCGGTCTCGCAAGCCCACACAAGTAAGGCCAATTTTATAGTGACATATATTGCGGTTAGCAAGAACATTACACTGAACATTTCATCCAAATTGACGATTCCATTAAACCATTGTACTATATGGAAGTAATGGTATAGTCCAAAAATGATTACAGAAAAGCTTTGTACTATCGTAGCAAGAAGTTGCACACTGAAAATTATGTTCAGCATCTGTACTGTGTTGCTGATCATCATATGTTGCTTCTGCAGATTCTTGAGTTTTATTATCAGGAATGTATTTCTCTGCTTACAAAACATTATGGTAACATGTGGTTCCTTGTTTATCATGAATTCTTGCATATATAGAAGACTATTGTTAATTTCCTTGTAACAGGCCTTTAATATACAAACGCAGTTCATGTACAACATGTCCATTGCAAACACTAGTAGAATTGTATATATTGAAAATATCATATATATGATAGGAAAGTGTGTCATATAGGAATATGTACATAATTTGCAAATCAGATAAAAGGAACCAAAGATATCCTTGGCGTGAATTAATCTTGATAACTTCTGGTAGGACTCCAGATCCAGTTTCAAAGAGATCTCCATTATGATCTGAAGCAAGCGCATTCGCGACCTGCTCAAGACGAGTGTAACGATTGCTATAGAAGCGGTCGATATACTGTAGCAAGTAATTTCAAAAAAAGTAGTTGCGGCCTCGAATTTTGTGAGGTTATAAGTTTTGTACTGATAGAGGATTGTGCATTCGTAAAGACATAAAACGCAGGTAATTATAATCAATAAGATATAAAGTGGTTTTGAAATCTCGAACTTCAACTTAGTGATCTTGTACGGAAATAGTCCCAGTATGCGGCACAATGTGAAGCAGGGATACATCAAACTTAGAAAATCTGTAGCTTGAAAGAGTTGCCATCTTTTTTGTACTTTGCGTTTCACTCGTTTTTGTAATTTTAACGACATATTGATAATTAAATAATGAAGTGTGTAGAACAATAATTTAAATCGTACAAGTATCAGTCTAAAAATTAATAATCACAATTATCAATATACACTTCTACACAATGCAAACATAATTGCAAGTTTTTCGTTTTAGATTTAATGCTTTAGTTTATTTTTCCACTGACAAGTCAATTGGAATAAATTGTTTCTTTTCCATTTACACTTAACAAGTTCCAGTTTAATACTGCCAGCTTTTCTTGCATCGAGGTGTTACTTGATCATATGTTAGTGACGAAGTAACCATGGTACTCTTTAATCTATTATCTATATAGCACTAAACAATATATACTGTAATAAAATATAATTTCTGAGATATAGTAACAACGTATTTAATTACTCAAAGTAGGAACTATGGAATATAGTGTGTATTTAAATCAATTATTCCTAAAACTTAATTAATAATAACTTCCTGAGTTAATATTATGTATTTTTATACACAATATTAACTCAGGAAGTTATTATTAATTAATTTTTAACATACATTATTGTATAATATATTGACAAGCATTATGCTATTTACAAGAATTTCGCGATTTTTGTATTTTAAGGACGATATTTTTAAAAACACATGTTCTCGCGAATGCATGTTATGTGTCTACGTTACCAAGTTTTAGTAAAATAATATTTTGTATATTTAATTCATTTAATTTGTTAATTTGATCAATAGTATTTATTGTTTGGCCTTAACTTAAAATTAATTGGAATTATAAAATATTTTATATTCATAAACCTATTAAAATATACAAGGATGTTTGAAGAAGTTACAGTAAAAGTTACAGTAAATTAACAATATTTCATAATATTAATACCCCGGTTATTTTAAACACGGAATAGAGAAGTTGTTGCAATGATGTAAGAAATGTATTAAAAAGGACGATGATTATGTAGAAAAATAATATCTTATTAGCAAATTAAAATTTTTAAAATCTCTAATTCAATTATACATATATCTCAAAATATTTCATTTACTGTTACTTTTTGAAATATCCTTGTATTTAAGATTTTCTTTGGTTTTCTTAACTTATAAATATTGTATACCATTTTATTGTAAAATTGTGCGTTATTTGGAAATACTGATATCTGGAAGATGAGAAGATAACAAATGTAATGCTAATGAATTGAGTTATAGGATAATGCAAGGACAGTGCTATTATCTTGATTAGAATTAATTATTTAAATTGGAACAAACTGATATACTTTTCTAGCTGATGAAATGAACAGATATGATATGCCTTAGAGACAATGATTAAATAGTTTTACAGTAGGTGCCAAGATCTATCTATCTATTAGTAGGTGCCAAGGTATCGTACTTTAGCGATAATAAAATTAAGTAATTCATCGAAAGACGCAATTGTTGCTATTCTAACGATAAACCGATAACATTATTATAACCGGATATTTTCTTTTAATGTTATACTCTCATATACAGTTGATTTGTTTTAGATGCCACTTAATAATCATTTACATATTCTTATGTCTTATCTTTATTTTCTTGATAATAAAAATACATTGCTCCAACTGAATTATTTAAACAAAGTGTATTTTATTGCACTAAAATACAAAGTGTCTGTATAAACTAAAAATTTAATAAGAAATCTATACAATTTATTAATAATAATAATAATTACAATTATAATAGATGCTAATTTTTATCGGTTGGGAACTGTGAGCATAATGATGTATAAGTGTAGATTCGCAACAAAAACTGATACATAATAAATTCACTGAACTAAAGCAAGATATGAAATATGTAAGACGTTAAATTCGATCTCCCAAAGATATCAAACTTATATTAGTAAAGAGCAATGACATTTTAAAAAGTTATGTAAACTCCTTTTTTTAAAATCCGAAAGATTTTTTTGTAAAATCGATAGAACAAGAAGGCAATAAGAGCCGACGCAGGATGTCAGTAGTGAACAGATTAATGTATAAATTTTTAAACAAGTTAAACGTTTCGATTATCTTACGTGATCTTCTTCGGTAACATGTAACATAAATAGAATGAATTAAATATATCGCAGAATAATAATTAACCTAAATATTAATTAAGAGCAGAAACTTAATTTAGACGAATGATTATTACAACAAAAAACGGATCTCGTTATACACGACAAATAACAATCTCACTAGATGGTGGCTGTCGGAATATTTGTTTTTATTTTGCTGCGTTGGCTCAGATATCTGATCACCTAATAAAGGACTACTGAGATATCACTAGGATTCAAGTTTCAGATACACTTTGCTGTATAATAGTAAAATGTCTCCGGATCTCTATTTATATAATGTTCTTCCTATTTATATTTGTAGAATATGTTAGGAAAGTTTCATAGTTTAAATTTACATATTTTGTAGTTTACAACTACTAACAATTCTATATAAGTATAAAGCATATCCCCTTGTTTGATTATCTCTTTTATTATAATTGGGTTACTTGTGCGATATTGATTTTTTATCGCAAGAATGTGATATAATTAAAAATTGTATCAATATCAACATGTATGTCGTAACACTGCCCACCATCTAAAAAATATAAACAATATAGATGTTATTAAACAATTTAAACAATTGGTTACTTACTGCTGCGAGAAGCGTCGCATCTACAGGGAATCCTTTGGTAGAAAATATACCTTTGTGATGCAGTATTTGTAAAGAAAACAGGTGCAACTGCAATGTCAGATTACAAAATAATCAAATGTTGGAACGAAAAAATGGGATTCACAAATGTAATTATATTAGGAGATTTAAATGTTTCAAATAATCAATTAGCATACAGTACATTTTTAGAAAAATATATAAATAAAATTGCATTTTTATTTACCTCGTCTTTGATTTCTTCATCGTTAGTGTTGTTAAGTAGGTCGTGAATGGTGGTACGAATTTGATAAGCCTGATTCTTGCAGGTTTCGCAGGTCCAAATAAGTAGCGTTATCAGTATACCGTGATACATTATGCAGCATAAAAACGTGTCAACAAGATATTTATCAAAAGTAATACGTAGCCCATTGTGCCAGCGTACTATGTAGAAGTATAACTCAAAAGTAATATTAGAAAGAATTAAGATCATAGTAGCAATCAGTTGCAGACTGAAGAATGTATTCAGCATTTTCACTGCGTCACTAACTCTCTGATGATGTCCTTTCAGGTTCTTAAGTTCTATTAGCAATAATTGATTTCTCTGCTGGTGATGGATCAACATAGGAATGCATGGCTTTGTATTGTTCGCCACAAGCCTTTGCATGTGTGCTAGATTATCATTAATATTCTTAAAACAGACTTTCAATATATAAATACAATTTGTGTATAACATATTTATCTGAAATACCAGCAGAGGACTGTATATTGATAATACCAGGGAGCCCAAAATGTCATAAACTTGTTGTTTAGAAAAATATACGTATATTATTATGACTGTAAAAATAATACTCGAAATATCCTTGATATGGATTACTCTGAACAGCTGTTGATACGATTTCGGAGGTAATTTCAAAGAGATCTTTAAAATAATCTGTAACAAACGCATTCGTGGACCGCTTAAAACGTGTGTGATGATCATTATAATACTACAGAATGTATAGAAACAGACAACTTCAATATTCTTGGTTATGCTTCCCAAAGTGATGTTAGAAATGATGATATTGTAAGCGAATAACATATTTAAAATGCAGACAATACAGACAATCACAGTCGATATTATGTAATACACTTTTGAAGCTTTCAATGACGAATGGTTGATCTTGTATGGAAATATTCCGAGAATACGGCCAAATATGAAGCAGGGATACATTAAAGATTGACAGTTCGTGGCATGGAACAGCCACCATTTTCTCCACATTTTGCCTTTGAAATGTCGTTGCATTTTCAACACGATTAACAGAAGTTCTTAGGAGAATAACAATCTATATTATAATCAGGATATTATTAAGCACCACACTTAATGTACACGTAATTACGTGAGGTTCTTTTTTAAATATAATTTTCAAGTCTTCTTTGTCTCTTCATCACAAACATGTAAACTAATATGGATCCCTTCGTTCTATCTACACTGAACGAATATAAGTTTGAAACTATGAGCAAATGCAGCATAGAAGAAATAAAGCTATAGAAATCATTTGTTAGTCGTAAAGTAACCATGGCGTTCTTCGATCGGCACTAATCATTTTTTAATGTATAGAAAGATAAAATGCATAATGAAACGTCGTTTGTTGTAGCATATAACTTAATTAATTATGTATACACATATGAAATAGGAATTACAGACTGTACAACATTTGCATAAATTAGTAATTCTAAAAGATCCATTATTACTGATTCCGACTTCATATTTTCTCTTTGTACACATAATACATAAGATATTTTTCTCTTTGATTAAGTAATACATATTTCCTTTTATATAACTCAATTTCTTATGTGTGTGTTATTGATTGTAGAATTTCCATCGCAAGAATGTGATGTGATCAAAAATTGTATTAAAATTAGCATATATGTTGTGATACTTCCCACCATCTAAAAATATGTAATAAAGAAATAATGTATGTTTTATTTATCAAAACAAATAACTGGTTACTTACTGCAGTGAGAAGTGTCGCATCCACAGTGAGACCTTTTGCCGTAAATGTATTTTCGCAATGCAATATTTGCAAAGAAAAGAGTCGTAGCTGCAATATTAAATTGAGAAATACTTTAATGCACGGACAAAAAAATAATATTGGCAAACAATGTCATATTTCAATAAATATGTAATACTTAATGTTTAGAAAAATTGTATTATCATGGCGTACATTGTCAGACAAATATACATAAAATTATATTTTTACTACCTCGTATTTGATTTGCTCATCTTTGGTGTTATTAAGTATATCATGAATGATGGTGCCAGTTTCTTGGAACTGATTCTTGCAAGTCTCACAGATCCACACAAGTAACATTAGTTTTATAACAAAATGAGCCATGTATATGAAAAACGCCTCCAAAATATGCCAATCAAAACGAATAAGTAATAATTCGTGTTGCCAACGCGCTATATAGGAATACAATCTAAAAGTGGTATTGGTAAAAACTATGGCTATAGTAGCAAGAAGTTGCAAACTGAAGATTATGTTGAGTGTTTGCACTGTTTTGCTAATCGTCAAATGTTGTTTCTTCAAAGTTTTCAGTTTTATTAGCAGAAATTGATTTCGTTGCATGTGGCAACTTGACATAGAAACATATGACTTTGCATCGTTTATTATAAGCTGTTGCATATGCAGAAGATTGTTATTGATATTCTTGAAACAAGCCTTTAATATACAAGCACAATTTGCGTACAACATATTGGTGTGAAATTCCAACAATGATATGTACGTTGCGAATATAAATAGTAGGGTAGTTCTCCAGTCCTGTTCATATTTGTAAGGCATATTTGTAAAGCAAAATATATTATTTTGCACGATAAACAAGATGGTCCCCAAGATATCCTTGACATGTATAAATCTGGATAATTTCTGATATGATTCCGAGGATAGTTTTGAAGAGATTTCCAAAATAGTCTGTAGCAGGCGCATTCGTGGAATGCTCAAGATGTGCGTGATGATTATTATCACACTGTTTAATATAAAGTAACAGATAACCTCAAGATTTCTGGTTACGTCTCCATAAGTAATTGTTTCAGAAATTGCAAGACCATAAATGAATACCAAGTTACAAGCACAACAAATGCAGACAACCATAGTTGACAGGATATAATATGCTTTTGAAACCTCGAAAATTGAAGCGTTGAACTTGTACGGAAATATTGCAAAAATACGGCAAAAGATGAAGCAGGGGTACATTAAAGATTGAAAATCTGTGGCGTTGAATAGTCGCCATTTTTTTTGCATTTTACACTTGGTACACTTTTGAATTTTTAAACTAAACATAATTGGTAAATGTTCATAGAAGAATAGTCTACATCACAATCAGCGGTCTATATGTTATTGACTAATACACTGAATTTATATTGGTAATTAGTGTTTTTCTTTAAGAAAGAACGTAATCAAGTCTGTCTCTACATAACAAATGCGTAAACTAACATAGAGTCACTGTTTGTCCTGTCTATACTCGATGAATTTATGCTTAAAACTGCAAGGAAATGCTGTGTCAAGTGCAAAGACTTAGCTGCAAAAACTATATGTTATTTGTGAAGTAACCATGGCGTTCTTCGATCGGGAAATTTTTCATTCTTAGGATAGATTGCAACGCGAATAGGGTGTAATTGCTGTAATATATGACTGAAGAAATTATATGCGCACGATAGATACAAAGTGGGAAATATAGACTTTTGTCGACATAGTAACTCTAAGAGGTTTTTTTATTGCAAGATTGTGTCGTGATCAAAAATTGTACCAAGATTAACATGTATGTTGTTATGCTGCCCACCATCTGAAAATAATTCCCAAGATAATATATGTTTTATTAATAAAAACAAATAATTGATTACATACTACTGTGAGAAGCGTTGCATCTATAGTGATACCTTTAGCCGAAAATGTATTTTCGCAATGCAGTATTTGCAATGAAAACAGACGTAACTGCAACATCACATCGAAAAGAGATTAATGTAGAAATACAAAAATAATATTGGCAAACGCAATTATATTCAATAATTTGAATATTTGCAAAATCGCATTAGTATACAATTCATTTTCAAAACCATTACCTCTGCTTTGATTTGTTCGTCTGTTGTGTTATTAAGTATATCGTAAATGGTAGTAGTAATCTTTTGTGCTTGATTTTTACCAGTCTCACAAGCCCACACAATTAGTGTTATTTGTATAACATAATACAACACAGTTGTTAAAAACGCATCGAAAATATGCCAATCAAGACCAATAAGTAACTTATCTTGCCAGTGTATTACAAAGAAGTACGAATGCAAAGTAATTTCAAAAAAGGACATAATTATAATAGCAAGAATTTGCAGACTGAAGATTATATTCAACATTCGCACCGTCCGGTTAATCATCAGATGCTGTTTCATTAAAGTTTTAAGTCTTGTTAGGAAAAATTCATTCCTCTGTATAAGGCAAATGGAACTGGGAACAGATGACTTCGTATCGTCTGTAAGTCTTTGCATATGTACTAGATCATTGTTGAGTTTTTTTAAACAGGCCATTAATACACAAACACAATTTATATATAACATATTCATCTGAAGCACTAGTAAGCCCATATATATATCCAATAATAAAGTTAGAACATGTAAACAATTACGTCGAAACTCCTTCCATTCCACTTTAACAAGATATATTAATACGTGCGCGACTAACAACATGATCACCAAGATATCCTTGATATGTATCAGTCTGGATAATTTCTGATATGATTTCGAGGATAGTTTCGAAGAGATTTCCAAAATAGTCTGTAGCAGGCGCATTCGTGGAACACTCAAGATATGCGTGATGATTACTATCAAACCGGTTAATATAATGTAAAATACAGCTCCAATATTCCCAATTATGCCTCCATAAGTAATTTGTCCAGAAATCATAATAGCATGGATGAATACCAAGTTAGCAATGCAACAAATGCAGACAACCATAGTTGACAAAATATAATACGGTTTTGAAATCTCAAAAGTTGAAGCACTGATCTTGTACGGAAATACTCCGACAATTCGGCAAAAAGTGAAGCAGGGGTACATTAATGATTGAAAATCCGTGGCGTTAAACAGCCGCCATTTTCTTTGCATTTTGCACTTTTGAATTGTCAGACTAAACATTATAGCACAGATATATGTATAGAAAAATAAGATTTTACACTCTAATCCACAGCCAAAATGTTGTAAACTACTACACTGTATTAATATCGATATAAGTGCACCTTTTGTAATAATAAATGTAATCAAGTCTGTCTCTTCGTAAAAAATGCATAAACTGACATAGAGTCTTTGTCCTAGCTACACTCGATGAGTTTAAAATTAAAACTGCGAGGAAATGTAAAGCACAAAAGACAAAGTTGGAAGCTATTTGTTGGTCGTAAAGTAACCATGGTGTTATTCGATCGGCCTTTCTCATTCTTGAGATAGATTAGAACGAATTCTGTATAATTGCTGTGACATATGACTGAACTAGTTCTATACGCACACAATAGATGCGAAATGGGAAATATAGACTATGCCCACATAAAAACTCTAATAGATTTCTTAATAATGATTGCTGCAAACTTAATATTTTGTTGCTTCATAAATTTTTCAACGTAATACTTAAATATGTACCTACAATTTTTAAACTTTTTTTGTACGACTATATTTCTTTGAGCGCAATAAATATAATGCATTCCTAAACGTATGACGTTACAAGATACACATATTCAAAATCTATACAAAAATTAATATATTATATATGTTATACATATACTTATATTATATGCTGTAGATTACTGAATCTTTTCTATATGAGGTGTAATTATTTTGTATTAATTATTTGTTTTCTATTAATCCTTATTGTAGCCTCTATTTTCCTTATCTTACTCTTCCGATTAAAAGATGAAAGAGTTGTATCAATTAAACCTAGATAAAAAAGTAAGTTTTGTTTCTTCAAAATGCGAAGAATATTTGCAAAAGTTAAAGTTTTAGTGGTGAAGAAAAGTATACAATTTAACAATAATTCTTAGTATTATACTTTCATAGCTTTGCTGTGCCAAACAACTGTTGATTATTGCAGAACAATGCACAATATATCATTAAAGACAAAACTTAATATATTAAAAAGAAATTATTATTTATGATACAGAATATAATAACTCATACATTTTAACATGATCAGCTTATTGTACCGATATACCAATACATGCATTAATTTTTTTTAATTTTATGCAAGAGCAATTTAGAAAATTACAATTTTGCAAGGTATTTACAGCAACATATATTTTTTATACATTTATTGCAATTCACATATACCATAAATGTAAAGTAAGAAAATCACGCTAAAAATATATTTGCAATTTAATATTACTGCAAATATAGGAAAAAATTACGTATCAATACGTACATTTATACATGTATATACACGAGCAATTCTACGAGTATAGAAAGGCCATCTTCTTTACTTTTATAATTAACATGTTTTTTCTTATACAACTGAATTATCTATGTAATATTAATTTCAGATTTTCTATTGCAAGAGTGTGTCATGATCAAAAATTGTACCAAAATTAACACGTATGTTGTTATGCTACGCACCATCTGAAAATAATTCCCAAGATATAAATAATAGGTACATGTTTTATTAATAAAAATTAATAATTGATTACTTACTGCTGTGAGAAGCGTTGCATTTATAGTGAGACCTTTAGCCGAAAATGTATTTTCGCAATGCTGTATTTGCAAAGAGAACAGACGTAACTGGAACATAAGATCCAAAAGAGATTTATGTAAAAATAAAAAATGATATTGGCACACGCAAATATATTATTAATTATTCAATAATTTGAATATTTAAAAAATCGCATTAGCATTCATTTTATATTTTCAAAACGATTACCTCTGCTTTGATTTGTTCGTCCGTTGTGTTATTAAGTACATCGTAAATGGTAGTACTAATCTTTTGTGCTTGATTTTTACCAGTCTCACAAGCCCATACAAGTAGTGTTATTTGTACAACATAATACGCCGTAGTTGTTACAAACGCATCGAGAACATGCCAATCAAGACTAATAAGTAACTTATCTTGCCAGTGTATTACAAAGAAGTTCAATTCAAAAGTGATTTGAGAAAAGAACACAATTATAATAGCAAGAAGTTGCAGACTGAAGATTATGTTTAACATTCGCACCGCCCGGTTAATCATCAGATGTTGTTTCATTAAAGTTTTAAGTCCTATTAGGAAAATATGACTCCTCTGTATAGGGCAAACGGAACCGGGAACAGATAACTCCACATCGTTTGTCAGTCTTTGCATATGTATTAGATCGTTGTTGATTTTTTTAAAACAAGCCTTTAATACACAAACACAATTTATATATAACATATTCATCTGATGCACTAGTAAGTGCATATACGTATTCAATGCTAAAGTTAGAACATGTAAACAGTTATGTTGAAACACCTTCACTTCCACTTTAAGAATATATATATACATGTGCACGACTAACAAGATGATCGCCCAGATATCCTTAATAAGTATCAATCTGGATAATTTCTGATATGATTTCGAGGATAGTTTCGAAGAGACTTCCAAAATAGTCTGTAGCAGCCGCATTCGTGGAACACTCAAAATGTGTGTGATGATTACTATAAAACCGTTTAATATAAAGTAAAATACAGCCCATACGTTCATGATTGTATCTCCGTAAGTAATTGTTCCAGAAATTATAATACCATGAATGTATACCAAGTTAGCAACACAACAAATACAGACGACCACAGTTGACAGAATATAAGACGGTTTTGAAATCTCGAAAGTTGATGCACTGATCTTATACGGAAATACTCCGACAATACGACAAAAAATGAAGCAGGGATACAATAATGATTGAAAATCCGTGGCGTGGAACAGCCGCCATTTTCTTTGCATTTTGCACTTTTGAATTGTCAGACTAAACATTATAGCACAGATATGTGTATAGAAAAATAAGATTTTACACCATAATCCACAGCCAAAATATTGTAAACGACTACACTGTATTAATATCGATATATTATAGGTGCATCTTTTGTAATAATGAAAGAAATCAAGTCCATCTTTCCGTAAAAAAATGTATAAACTGATATAGAGTGTTTGTCCTAGCTGCACTCAATGAATTTAAAATTTAAACTGCGAGGAAATGTGTAAAGCATAAAGAACAAAGTTAGAAACTATTTGTTGGTCGTGAAGTAACCATGGTGTTATTCGATCGGCCTTTCTCATTCTTGGGACAAATTAGAACGAATGGTGTATAATTGTTTTGACACATGACTCACTAAATTGTGCACACATGAAACAGAAAACAGAGCTCATAATGTCCGCATAAATCAGTAACTTTAAAACATAAGAATTACATTAAAAGTTCTATGAAAATATGACATTTACATTTTGAGAAACATATCATCTCAGTTAGTAAATTTAAAAATATAATTGGAAATAGAGTTATAAATAAAAATTATTACTTCAACAATCTTACATTAAATACTTACTATTTCAAAGAAAATTTTAGATTTTTTAAAAGTCACTTATAAAGAGAGAGGTTGTTAGGTGTTAAAAAATTATAAGGAAAAATTGTCACAGTTTTAAAAGTTTCTTTTATTTCAGTGTTAGATTTAATCTATGTATAACTGTATTTATCCGCACATTTATTATACAGGGTGTCTGATGCAAAAGTAGCAATTTTGGAAATAGCGGTAGATTGGGTTAAACTAAGGAGAAATATCATGTACCGAGGTACAAAGTAACAATAGTTATCAACATATAAATTTATACGTTTGAGCGAATGAGGATGCAGGAGATGGTAGGCCGGACTCGGAAAGCATTTAAGAAAATCGATCGATGAGCGGGAGGTGGAGCAACGCGCGAGATACACCGTGGTGGAAAAAAACCTTGGCCCGGCGGGGAGCGCGGCGCGGGCGGCGAGCGCGGCAGCGAGCGCGAGCAACGGGCGACCCAAAACATAAACATAGTATCTCGCGCGTCGCTCCACCTCCCGCTCATCGATCGATTTTCTTAAATGCCTTCCGAGTCCGGCCTACCATCTCCTGCATCCTCATTCGCTCAAACGTATAAATTTATATGTTGATAACTATTGTTACTTTGTACCTCGGTACATGATATTTCTCCTTAGTTTAACCCAATCTACCGCTATTTCCAAAATTGCTACTTTTGCATTAGACACCCTGTATATTAAAGCCAATTGAGCTATTAGAGCCATTCTAATGTCAAATAATGTATTTTTTTATTTAATTACATATCTTCTTTCGATAAGATTACTTCTGTATTATTGTTTGCTGTCTTCCCTCACAAGAATTCGACAGATTTGTGAATTGAAATAATATCATTACATACATAGCGATGCTTCCCACTATCTAGAAGCAAGATTTAGAAAACTAATAATGCACATTCTCTAAATTATTAATTTTATTGGTAAATTATAATTACTGACTAACAAAAACATATCACTCACTGTAGCGAGAAGCTTCGCATTTACCATAACACCTTTGGCAGAAAATCTATTGTCGCAATGAAGTATTTGCAAGGAAAACAGTTGTAACTGCAATCGCAAAATTGTTAAATGTAACATTGAGAAATTAATTATGAGTACTATACATTTAATGTAACAAAAATAAAAAATGTATACAAGGCATATTAACATAATTTAGAAGAAATGTAAACTCCAGTATTTTGTTATACTACCTCATTTTTTATTTGCTGGTCGGCGGTGTTATTAAATACATCGTAGATAGAAGTACTGATTTGTAAACTTTGACTATTGCCCGTTTCACAGGCCCACACTACCAAAGCTATTTTTGTAAAGTCATATACCATCTTTGAAGAAAAATATACGTGATACAGTGTATTGTCCAAAGTGTAGTTTTCGAAAAAACGTTTTCTCAATAATATATAATAGTACAGATGGCCAGTGATATCACAGAAAGTTATGACTATTGTAGCAAGTAACTGTAAACTGAAGATCGTATTCAGCATCTGCACTGTATCATTGATCACCAAATGGTGCTTCTTCAGAGCTTTGAGCTCCATGATCAAAAAATGATTTTCTTGGTCATGATAATTCAGTCTAGAAATATGTGGCTCATTATTTGCTAGGACTCTTTTCATGTACGCTAGATTGTCATTGATTCTTTTAAAACACGCTCTTAATACACAAACACAATTCATGTACAACATATCCATCTGAAATACCACTAGATAGATATAGATTTGAATTAAAAATTCCAATTGTACAACCATTGGTTCATCCGACTTGAGAATAAGCACAAATATGTGCCCAAGTAGATAAAGAGAACCGATGATATCCTTAGTGTGAATTAGTCTAGATAGCTTTCGATAGGATTCTGATGGTAGTCTTGAGGAAATCTTCAATATAATCTGAAGCAAACGCATTCGTGAACCGCTTAGAATGAACGTGACGATTATTATGAAAATACCAAACATACGGTTGCAGCTGTTCACAAGAATCCCAGGTAAATTGAACATATTAAATGTTTTTCCAAATAAGGAAAAGTCGAACAGCGTTATTAGTGCGTAAATACCAGAAGCGCAAGTAATGACAGTTGACAGAATGTAACGTTGTTTTGAAGTTTTGAAAGTTGAAGCGTTGATATTGTATGAAAATATTCCAAGAATACGACAGAAAGTGAAGCAAGGATACATCAGGGATTGAAAGTCTGTGGCGTTGAATAATTGCCATTTTTCCTTTTTCTGTTTGCCTTCGAGTTTTTCACGGAAATTCGATGACAACTTGAACATGATCAATGATTTATCACGAGATAGCAATAGTGTAAATCGTAGACAACAATCTGTAAATTATTAATTACATTATTAATGCGCTTTGGTACTAATATGAATGTGATCGAGAGAGATTTTTTACAAATGTACCTTTTGTTACTTTTATCTTTCCACGTACATAAACCGATATGGAATCCTTATCGCCGATGTACACGTGACGAATTTAACTCTAATACTGCAAGTGCTATTTCGTGTAATAATACAAAACTAAAAGGATTCTTGTTAGGCGCGGTGTAACCATGGCATTCTTCGATCAGTAATTATCATCTGATAAGAATATGCAATTGCTATGACATAGTCGTCAAATAATTTATGTACATACAAAATATTAGTATTTTGTACGATATTTTTGTTGATTCCTAGTTTATGTAAATGCATTTACAAAGATTATCTATTTTCTAATAACTGTCGTATTTCTAAAGTCAACATTGCATATACAAGGCATTTGAAATTTTTATCATTTCGCCCCATCTATTATACTTCTTAGGGCCAGTTTCACAAACGCCGATCATCTGCTGACCGAAGATTAATTGATTCTCTGTCTCTTCTTAGTTAACAAAATAGAAAAAGTTAGGAAGTTGACTAAACTCTGGTTAACTGTTAATCGATGTTTGTAAAATTGGCCCTTAGTTATTTGTATATATTTAATTGAACATATTTTTTATATAACTATGTAATACATGTTTTATATCATAACTGTATAACGTAAATATGTATAATAATAAGAAAGATATTCCCTCTTTTTATCTCTCTCTTAAATTTCAAAAATGAAATTATATCTATCAATCTAAAATTTATCTTTTTAATACAATACATCGTTACAGTATATCGATTGTCAATACTTATTTGCAGTAAAGATTCCTGCAAATGTACAGTACTGTTTAATAATAACACAGAGTATATTGCTCTCACACACGCTATACATATACGCATACAAATGATTCTATATAAGTATAGAAAAAGTCATCTCTCTTCCCTTCATTAATTAATATATTTAATTGATCTATATTTGTTACATGACTGAATTATTTATGTAACATTGCTTTTAAATTTTTCATCACAAGAATGTGACATGATCAAAAATTGTATCAATATTAACATGTATGTTGTGATACTACCCACGAACTGAAAATAATTTATATCAAAATATGAATAATATATGTTTTATTAATTAGAGCAGATAATTGATTACTCACTGCTGTGAGAAGCGTTGCGTCTACAGTAAGACCTTTCGTCGAAAATGTATTTTTGCAATGCAGTATTTGCAAAGAAAACGTATGTAACTGGAACGTCAGATCCAAACAACAATAAATGCAGCGGTGAATACATAACATTTTGGCACATGCAATTTCAATAGTGTTTGAATTTAAAAAAATAGCGTTAACAGATACTACATTTTCAAAATGTTTACCTCTGCTTTGATTTGCTTATCTGTCGTCTTATTAAGTATGTCGTAAATAGTAGTAGCAATCTTTTGGGCTTCAGTTTTGCCAGTCTCGCAAGCCCACACAAGTAGCGTTATTTTTGCACTATAATGCGCTACATGTATTACAAAGACATCAAGAAAATGCCAGTCAATACTAAAATGTAACTCTTGTTGCCAATGCACTACATAGAAGTACAATTCAAAAGTGAATTCAGAGAAGAAGCCAAATATAGTAGCAAGAAGTTGCAGACTGAAGATTGTGTTCAACACTTTCACTGTTCTGCTAATCACCAGATGTCGTTTCATCAAATTTTTAAGTTCTGTCAGAAAAATTTGATCTCTCTGCATATGGCACATTAAGCTGGAAATAGATAGCTCCACATTGTTTATAAGTGTACTTTTCATATGCATTAGTTTGTTGTTGATTTCCTTTAAACAGGCCGTTAATATACAAACACAATTTGTATATAACATATTCATCTGAAGCATTACAAGCGCTAAATACATGTCGTATGCCATAGTCAGGATAGTGAAACAATTTACTTCCAACGTTTGCACTTTAGAAAAATTCATAGATGCTTGCATAATTAACAGGGTAATACACAAGATATCTTTGAAATGGATAAATCTGGATAATTTCTGATATGATTTCGAGGGCAGCTTTGAAGAGATTTCCAAAATGGTCTGTAGCAAACACATTCGTGGAACGCTCCAAAGATGCGTTGTAATCGCTGCTAAACCATTCAACGTAAAGTAACCAACAGCCTCGAGATCTCTGGGTACATCTCCATAAGTAATTGTTCCAGAAATAATAATACTATGAATGAGTACCAAGTAGAAGACACAGTAAACGCAGATAATCACAGTTGACTGAATACAATGCGACTTTGAAATCTCGAAAGTCGTAGTATTGATCTTGTACGGAAATGTTCCGAGAATGTGACCAAAAATGAAGCAAGGGTACATCAATGATTGAAAATCCGTGGCGTGGAACAGCAACCATTTTTTCCGCATTTTCCTCTTAACGTGCTATTGAAGTATTGATCTGAACATAATAATCAGAAATTTATAACAGAGCAACAGTCTGAAATCTGAAGCCTACATATAAATGTTATTACTCAACACACTCTCGTATTAATATAGATATAATGGCTTCTTTTCTAAACGTAATTTATAAAGTCGGCTCTTTGCAATCAGTATATTAACTATGACGACTCTTCGTTTCGTTATTCACTTGGTGAATATCAATGTACAACTGTAGCAGATGCAGAGAGACAAGGCTGAAGAAGCCGTTTGTTAGTCGTGAAGTAACCATGGCGTTCTTTGATCGATACTTTTTATTCTTGAGATGGATTACAAAAAAACCGTGAAATTATAATAACATATGACTCAATAAGTTTTTGTGGATAGAAATGAAATATGATTTTTACAACAGTTTGTATAATATTCGCATAAATCATAATCCTAGAGATAAGTATAGTCAAAAGTTTTATTTCTCTACGTGTATAAATACATATCTATGAACAATTCTATATAAGGTTGAAAAGCAGTTTCTTGTTTTTCAATTATGTAGCTCTTTTCATGTAACTGAATTTATTGTAATATTACTTCCAGATTTTTCATCACAAGAATGGGTCGTAATCAAAAATTGTATCAAAATTAACATGTGCGTTGTGACACTGCCCAATATCTAAAAATAATTTATAAAATAATATGATTTATCAACTAGAACATATACTTGATTACTCACTGCTGTGAGAAGCGTTGCGTCTACAGTAAGACCTTTCGCCGAAAATGTATTTTTGCAATGCAGTATTTGCAAAGAAAACGTATGTAACTGGAACAACAGATCAAAACAACAATAAATGCAGTAGTGAATACATAGCATTTTGGCACACGCAATTTCAATAGTGTTTGAATTTAAAAAAAAGTGTTAACAAATACTACATTTTCAAAACGTTTACCTCTGCTTTGATTTGCTTATCTGATGTGCTATTAAGTACGTCGTAAATAGTAGTACTAATCTTTTGGGCTTCAGTTTTGCCAGTCTCGCAAGCCCACACAAGTAGCATTATTTTTGCACTATAATGCGCTACTTGTATTACAAAGACATCAAGAAAATGCCAGTCAATACTAAAATGTAACTTTTGTTGCCAATGCACTACATAGAAGTACAATTCAAAAGTGAATTCAGAGAAGAAGCCAAATATAGTAGCAAGAAGTTGCAGACCGAAGATTGTGTTCAACATTTGCACTGTTCTGGTAATTATTAGATGTTGCTGCATCACAGTTTTAAGTTTTATCAGAAAAAATTGATCTCTCTGCACATGGCACATTAAGCTGGAAATAGATAGTTCCATATTGTTTATAAGTGTACCTTTCATATGCATTAGATTGTTGTTGATTTCCTTGAAACAGGCCGTTAATATACAAACACAATTTATATATAACATATTCATATGAAGCATTACAAGCGCTAAATACATGTCGTATGCCATAATCAGGATAGTGAAACAATTTACTTCCAACGCTTGCTCTTTAGAAAAATACATAGACATTTGTACAATTAACAGGATGGTACACAAAATATCTTTCAAATGGATAAATCTGGATAATTTCTGATACGATTTCAAGGATAGCTTTGAAGAGATTTCCAAAATGGTCTGTAGCAAACCCATTCGTGGAACGCTCCAAAGATGCGTTGCAATCACTGCTAAACCAGTCAATGTAAAGTAACCAACAGCCTCGAGATCTCTGGGTACATCTCCATAGGTAATTGTTCCAGAAATAATAATACTATGAATGAGTACCAAGTAGAAGACGCAGTAAACGCAGATAATCATAGTTGACAGTATACAGTGTGGTTTTGAAATCTCGAAAGTCGAAGTATTGATCTTGTATGGAAATATTCCGGAAATGTGACCGAAAATGAAGCAAGGATACATCAATGATTGGAAATCCTTGGCGTTAAACAGCAGCCATCTTTTCCTTATTTTTTTCTTAACATGCTTTTGAATTTGTGATCTCAACATAATTATCAGAAATTTGGGGAAGAGCCACAGTCTGAAATCTGAAACCTATATAAATGTTATTAACCAATACATTCTCGTATTATTATAGATATAATTGCTTGCTTTCGAATCATAATTTATAAGTAACAAGAATAAACAGTTATTGTCGTTACATGCCTCAGTGGACGAATTGATGAGACGCCCGCGTAGTGTGTAGGAAAGTCCCGGTTCAAACCCTGACTGAGGTAATAGTTTTCGCAGTAAATTTTCTCTAATTAGAATTGCCAGTTGTGTCAGCTATCAATTTTCTTACATTGGGTAATTTGTAAGATCGTCTCTTTGCAATCAGTATATTATATACTGATATATAACTATGACGACTCTTTGTTTTGTTATTCACTTGATAAATATCAATTTACAACTGTAGCAGATGCAGAGAGACAAGGCTGAAGAAGCCGTTTGTTAGTCGTGAAGTAACCATGGCGTTCTTTGATCGATACTTTTTATTCTTGAGATGGATTACAAAAAAACCGTGAAATTATAATAACATATGACTCAATAAGTTTTTGTGGATAGAAATGAAATATGATTTTTACAACAGTTTGTATAATATTCGCATAAATCATAATCCTAGAGATAAGTATAGTCAAAAGTTTTATTTCTCTACGTGTATAAATACATATCTATGAACAATTCTATATAAGGTTGAAAAGCAGTTTCTTGTTTTTCAATTATGTAGCTCTTTTCATGTAACTGAATTTATTGTAATATTACTTCCAGATTTTTCATCACAAGAATGGGTCGTAATCAAAAATTGTATCAAAATTAACATGTGCGTTGTGACACTGCCTACTATCTGAAAATAATGTATAAAATAATATGATTTATCACCTAGAACAAACAATTGATTACTCACTGCTGTGAGAAGCGTTGCGTCTACAGTAAGACCTTTCGCCGAAAATATATTTTTGCAATGCAGTATTTGCAACGAAAACGTATGTAACTGGAACAACAGATCAAAACAATAATAAATACAGAAGTGACTACATAGCATTTTGGCAAGTGCATTTTCAATAGTGTTTAAATGTTTAAAAAAATAGCGTTAACAAATACTACATTTTCAAAACGTTTACCTCTGCTTTGATTTGCTTATCTGATGTGCTATTAAGTACGTCGTAAATAGTAGTGCTAATCTTTTGAGCTTGATTTTTGCCAGTCTCGCAAGCCCACACAAGTAGGGGTAGTTTTACAGAATAATTTGCTACATTTGTTACAAACATATCAAGAAAATGCCCATCAACACTAAAATGCAACTCTTTTTGCCAATGCACTATATAGAAGTACAATTCAAAAGTCAGTTCAGAGAAGAACCAAATTATAGTAGCAAGAAGTTGCGGACTGAAGACTATGTTCAACATTTGCACTGTTCTGCTAATCACCAGATGTCGTTTCATCAAATTTTTAAGTTCTGTCAGAAAAATTTGATCTCTCTGCATATGGCACATTAAGCTAGAAATAGATGGCTTTATATTGTTTAGGAGTCTACGTTGCATATGCATAAGATTGTTGTTGATTTCTTTGAAACCGATCTTTAATACACAAACACAATTTATGTATAACATATTCATCTGAAGCAACACAAGCCCCAAATACGCGTCGAATGCCATAGTTACGGCAGTGAACGAATTCACCTCAAACGTTTGCACCTTAAAAAAATATATAGCTACTTGCACAACTAACAGGATAGTACACAAGATATCTTTTAAGTGGATAAATCTGGATAATTTCTGATATGACTTTGAGGGTAGCTTTGAAGAGATTTCCGAAATGGTCTGTAGCAATCGCATTCGTGGAACGCTCGAGATATGCGTGGTGATCAGTACTAAACCAGTCAACGTAAAGTAACTAACAGCCTCGAGATTTCTGGGTACATCTCCATAGGTAATTGTTCCAGAAATAATAATACTATGAATGAGTGGCAAGTAGAAAGCACAGTACACGCAGATAATCACAGTTGACAGAATATAGCGCGGTTTTGAAACCACAAAAGTTGAAGCATTGATCTTGTAATGAAATATTCCGAGAATGCGACAAAAAGTGAAGCAAGGATACATTAATGATCGAAAATCCGTGGCGCGAAATAGCAGCCATCGTTTTCGCATTTTATCTCCGATATGCTTGCGAACGTTTGATTTGAACATAATTAATAAAAATTTATAAGAGAGTTGCACTGTATATGCAGTCTAACTTTTAATTAATACACTGTGATAGTAATATACATGCAATTGTTTCTCGTTTGTAAACGTGATTTATAAATTTGTTCCTTTGCAAATAGTATATTAATATTACGACGTGAACTTTCTCTTTAAATTCACTCGTTGAATTTCGACTTATAACTGCACCAGATACATAGAGACAAAGCTTAAAGAGCGGTTTGTTAGTCGTGAAGTAACCATGGAGTTTTTCTATCGACATTTTTCATTTAAGATGGATTAGACAAAAGACATAAAATTGTTATTACATATAACTCAAGAATTTTTTGTGGGCATACATAAAGTAGGATATTGTACAACAGGTTGTGTAATATTCGCATAAGTCATAACTCTAAAAATTTCTTAAATATAATTGAAAGTTTTATTTCTATATATGTATAAATAGTACATGAGCAATTCTCTAAGATAAAACGTTTCTCTTCTTTAAGTACGTATCTTCTTTTAGGTAACTGTATTACTTGTAGTATTGATTCCAGATTTTTCCTTGCAAGAATGTGTCGTGATCAAAAATTGTATCAAGATTAACATATATGTTGTTAAGCTACCAACCATCTAAAAATAATAGAAAATGCAAACAATATATGTTTTAGTAATAAAACCTAATAATAATTACTCACTGCTGTGAGAAACTTTGCATCTACAGTGAGACCTTTTGCGGAAAATGTATTTTGGCAATGCAATGTTTGCAAAGAAAATAGCTGTAACTGGAACACCAAATTGAAAGGAGATAAAATATAAGAATGTAAAACTAGTGTTAGCAAACATAATTTTAAACTAATAATATATATATTTCCAAAAATAACATAAACATTGCATTTTCAAAATGATTACCTCGGCTTTGATTTGCTCATCTTTCGTACTATTAAGTACGTCGTAAATAGTAGTATTAATCTTTTGAGCTTGATTTTTGCCAGTCTCACAAACCCACACAAGTAGCGGTATTTTTACAATATAATTTGCTATATTTGTTACAAACGCATCAAGAAGATTCTGATCAATACTAAATTGTAACTGTTTTTGCCAATGCACTATAAAGAAGTACAATTCGAAAGTGAATTCAGAGAAGGACGCAATGATAATAGCAAGAAGTTGCAGACTGAAGATTGTATTCAACATTTGCACTGTTCTGGTAATCATTAGATGTTGCTGCATGACGTTTTTAAGTTTTATCAGAAAAAATTGATCTCTCTGCATATGGCACATTAAGCTGGAAATAGGTGGCTTTATATTGTTTATGAGTCTATTTTGCATATGCATTAGATTGTTGTTGATTTCCTTGAAACAGGCTGTTAATATACAAACACAATTTATATATAACATGTTTATCTGAAGCATTGCCAATACCATATACGTATCGAATACCATCATTAGGACAGTAAACCAATTTACTTCAAACGGCATTTTAGAATAATACATATACAATTGTATAATTAACAGGATAGTACACAAGATATCTTTGAAATGGATAAATCTGGATAATTTCTGATATGACTTCGAGGGTAGCTTCGAAGAGATTTCCAAAATGGTCTGTAGCAAACGCATTCGTGGAACGCTCGAGACGTGCGTGGTAATTACCATTAAACCAGTCAACGTAAAGTGACCAGCAGCCTCGAGATTTCTGAGTATATTTTCATAGTTAATTGTTCCATAAACAATAATAAGATAAATGAGTAACAAGTAGAAAACACAGTACACGCAGATAATCACAGTTGACAGAATATGGCGTGGTTTTGAAACCTCAAAAGTCGAAGCATTGATCTTGTACGAAAATATTCCGAGAATGCGTCCAAAAGTGAAGCAAGGATACATTAATGATTGAAAATCCGTGGCGTGGAATAGCAGCCATCTTCTTTGCATTTTATCTCCGACATGTTTGTGAATGTTTGATTTGAACATAATTAGGAAAAATTTATAGGAGAGCAGCACTGTATAATCTGCAGCCTAACTGTTGTTCAATACACCATAATAGTAATTGCAATTGTTTCTCGTGTGCAAATGTGATATATAAATTTGTCACTTTGCAAATAGGATGTTAATAGTATGACGTGAACTTGTCGTTTATATTCACTCGTTGAATTTCGACTTATAACTGCATGACATACATAGAGACTAAGCTTAAAAAACGGTTTGTTAGTCGTGAAGTAACCATGGAGCTTTTCGATCGATGTTTTTCATTTAAAATGGATTAGGTAAAAGACGTAAAATTGTTATTACATACGACTCAAGAAAGTATTGTGGCTATTCATAAAGTAGGATGATGTACAACAGGTTGTGTAATATTCGTATAAGTCCTAACACGAAACGTTTCTTAAATATAAATGAAAAGTTTATTTTTATATATGTATAAATATGTGTACACGAGCAATCCTCTATAATGATAAAAAACCTTTCTCTTCTTTAAGTATGTATCTTCTTTTATGTAACTCCATTACTTGTAGTATTGATTCCATATTTTTCGTTGCATGAATGTGTTGTGACAAAAAATTGTATCAAGATTAACATGTATGTTGTTATGCTACCAACCATCTAAAAATAATAAAAGAGTGCAAATAATATACCGTTTTATTAATAAAACGAAATAATAATTACTCACTGCTGTGAGAAGCGTTGCGTCTATAGTGAGACCTTTTGCGGAAAATGTATTTTCGCAATGTAATATTTGCAAAGAAAATAGCTGTAACTGCAACACCAGATTGGAAATAGGTAAAATGCAAGAATATAAAACTAGTGTTAGCAAACACACTTATAATCCAATGACATAAATCTTTCAAAAAGTAACGTAAGCACTACATTTTCAGAATGATTACCTCGGCTTTGATTTGCTCATCTTTCGTACTATTAAGTACATCATAAATTGACATGTTAATCTTTTGGCTCTGATTTTTGCCTGTCTCGCAAGCCCACACCAGTAGTATTATTTTTGAAACATAATGCGTCATACATATTATAAACGCATCAAGATGATCCCAATCAAGGCTAACAAGTAACTTGCCTTGCCAGCGCACTACAGAAAAGTACAATTCAAAGGTAATTTCAGAAAAAGAGTCGATTATGGTTGCGAGAAGTTGCAGACTGAAAATTATGTTCAATATTTGCACTGTTTTAGCAGTCATCAGATGTTGTTTCTTCAAAAGTTTAAGTTCCATCAGAATAAATTGATTACTGTGCATATGATAAATGCTGGGAATAGATGGCTTTATATCGTTTATGGGTTGTCGCATGTGCATTAGATCATCGTTAATTTTTTCGAAGTAAGCCTTTAATATACAAACACAATTTATATATAACATATTCATCTGAAGCACTAGAAGCGCCCCATACGTCCCAAATATCATGCTGAGGCCACTGAAATAATTCAGTTCAAGTATTTGCACTTTAGAAAAAAATGTATATATATGCACAACTAGCATAATGGGACACAAGATGTCCTTTACATGGATAAATCTGGATAATTTCTTATATGATTTCGAGGGTAGCTTTGAAGAGATTTCCAAAATGGTCTGTAACAAACGCATTCGTGGAACGCATAAGATATGCGTGGTAATCACTACCAAACAATTCAACGTATAGTAACCAACAACCTCAAGATTTTTGGTTATGCTTTCATAGGTAATTGTTCCAGAAATAATAATGCCATGAATGAATAGCAAGTAAGAAACACAGTAAGCGCAGATAATTATTGTAGACAGGATATAGTACGGTTTTGAAATCTCGAAAGTCGATGCATTGCTTTTGTATGGAAACATTCCAAGAATACGACACAAAGTGAAGCAGGGATACATCAATGATTGAAAATCCTTGGTGTAGAACAGCCGCCAGCTTTTTCGCGTTTCATCTTTGACATGTCTTTGAATTTTTGATCCGAACATAACTGGCAGAAATTTCTGGGAGAGTAACAGTATATAATTTGCCGCTTAAATGTTATTAATCATGCACTGTATTAATACACAATACACTGTTGGATTAATATATACGTGTTTGCTGCTTTTTTAAACGTAATTTATAAAGTTGTCAATTTTCTAAATAGTGTATTATTAACTATGACATAGACTCTTAGGTTTTATATTCACTCGAAGAATTTCAGTTTATAACTGCAGCAGATACAGAGAGATAAAGTTGAAGAAGCCGTTTGTTAGTTGTCAAGTAACCATGGCATTTTTCGATCGACTTTTACATCATCTTCTCTCTTGGGATAAATTACAATAATTAAAAAGTTATGTAAAATTGTTGTAATATAAGACCCAATAAATTTGTATGAATGTATGTACATAAAAAAATAAATAAGATATTATACCATAAACTATGTAATATTTGCTTGTAAGGAAACAGTAATTCTAAAGAATTGTTACGTGCAGTTCAAAGTTTTATTTCTATATGTGTGTAGATATATAGTGTGTATATGAACAATTCTACATAACTATAAAACAGTCATCATCTTTTGTTCGATTAGGTATCTGCTTTTATATAACAGAATTATTTATAATATTGGTTCCAGGTTTTTTATCGCAGGAGTGTAACATGACCAAAAATTGTATTAAAATTAACATATACGTCGTGATATTGCCAACCATCTAAAAATAAAATAGAGAATTATAAACAAGATGCATTTTATTAATTACGGCAAAATTTTATTAACTAAAAGAAATTGAATACTTACTGTTGCGAGGAGCGTGGCATCTACAGTGAGACCTTTCGCCGAAAATGTATTATCCCGATGCAATATTTGTAAAGAAAACAGCTGTAACTGTAACATCAGATAGCAAAATATAATTTAAAATCAGAAAAAAACATATAGTTGAAAAATGTAATTATGTACACTTAGATTTTATGTTCTCAAATATGCGGTAGCGTACAATATATTTTTAGAAAGAAATATTATATATAAAATTGTATCTATATTACCTCGTCTTTGAGCTGGCCATCACTGGTCTTATTAAGTACATCGTGAATGGTAGTGCCGATTTCTTTAGCTTGATTCTTTCCAGTCTCACAGACCCATACAAGTAGTATTATTTTTGTGATGTGAAACATTAGTGTTATAAAAAACATATCAAGAAAATCCCAACTCAATCTAATGAATAGTCCGTTTTGCCAACGCACTGCATAGAAATACAATTCAAAAGTGATATTACAAAAACACATGATTATAGTAGCAAGAAGTTGCAGACTGAAGATTATGTTCAGCATTTTTACTGCATCGCTAACCATCAGATGTTGCTTCTTCAGGCTCTTGAGGTTTATTAATAAAAATTGATTTCTCGGAAAGTAACAAGTCCATTTAGAGACACTTGGCTTTGTGTCATTAACTATGAGCTCTTGCATATATGCCACATTCTCATTAATTCTCTTGAAACAGGCCTTTAGTACGCATACAGAATTTACATACAACATATTTATGTGAAACTCTTGCAAAGTCAAATACACGGTGAAGAAGAAACCGGTTGAGAACATCATAGGCATGGCAGTTGCATAGTTTATTTCATCCATGTCTGCTTTAAGGAAATAAGCACATAATTGCACAACTATTAAAATTATACCAAAAATATCCTTGATGTGGATTAATCTGGATAACTTTTGATATGATTCCGGAGGTAGTTTCGAAGAAATGTCCAATATAGTCTGTAACAAGCGCATTCGCGGACCGTTCAAGATGTGTGTGACTATCACTATGAAACCGGTGAACGTATAGTAACTGACACCCTCAAGAGTTCTAATCACACTTTTTAAGTTGATTTTGGTAATAAAATCGTGAATAAGTAACAAGTCAAAAATGCAGCAAATGCAGATAATCACTGTCGACAAGATGTAGCACTGTTTTGAAACTTCGATAGTTGAAGCATTGATCTTGTACGGAAATAATCCGAGAATGCGACCAAAGGTGAAACAGGGATACATTAAAGATTGAAAGTCCGTGGCGTGGAAGAGCCTCCATCCTTTCCACATTGTACTCTCAGAATATCCTTGGATTCTTTTTAACTGAACGTGATTAATAGAAATTCATAGAAGAATAACAATCTATATCATAATCTTAGCACTCTCTAGCTCTCTAGCATATAGATGTGATTACAAGTTTTCTTTCTAAATATAATTTTCAAGTCCATCTTTTGATAACAAGTATTCAAACTGATATAAACTCGCCCTATCTACACTCGATGAGTTTAATTTTAAAACTACAAGCAAATACTGTATCAAGCAACTAAGTAAAACTGAAGAAGGCATGTGTTAGTCGTAAAGTAACCATGGTTTTCTTCGATCGGCACTTCTTAGTCTTATGATAGATTACATAAAGGGATGATGTTAAATTGTTATAACATATGACTCAACAAATTATGTGTGTACACATAAATAGAGAGTAGTCTGTACTGATCATGAATCAACAACTCTAAGAAAAGTCCATAAATAATGACTCTTCGTTTCTGAATTTAATTTCTTTATTTTCCTTTGCGTATGCAGGACAGTATTACATACTAAAATTTTGAGAAGTAATATATTTGCGTTTATGCACTTGATAAGTTAATTTAATGTTAATTTTTGATATCAATACATTTTTATATAAATTGCGTATATAAATATACACATAAAATTGTCATTAAGACTTATTTTTCGTCAAATTTTATTATAGATTATAACAAATTGCACAATTCACATGATCAAATATTTCACGTGATTGTTAAAATATATTTATTCAAGCTTAAAATATTGTATGTATACAAGCAATTTTATATATTTAATTATAAAAACTTCATCTTTAAATAAATATGTAAAAATCTTTTTATTCTGTATATTATTTTATATAATTGAATTACTTACATAATTTAGATTGCAGATTTTCAATCACAAGAATGTGATGTGATTAAAAATTGTATCATAATCAACATATATGTTGTTACGCTACCAGCCATCTGAAAATAATAGTAAAACATAAACAAAATGCATTTTATTAATTAAAACAATTGATTTTTATTAAATTCATTTTATTAATTAAATAATTGATTTCTTACTGCCGTGAGAAGTGTTGCGTCCACAGTGAGACCTTTCGTCAAAAATGTGTTCTTGCAATGTAGTGTTTGTAAAGAAAACAATTGCAACTGCAATATCAAACCGCGAAATAATTAAATTACAAGAATGGAAAATAGGATTGGTAATTGTAATTATATGAGGACACTAAATATTTTGAAAAATTGCATTACCATGCAGTATACATATTTACAGAAAAAGTCAGATAATACTACAATTTTAATACCTCGACTTTGATTTGCTCATCTCTGGTGCTATTAAGTACACCGTGAATGGTGGTGCTAATTTCTTTAGCTTGATTTTTGGCGGTTTCGCAAACCCACACAAGTAGCACTATTTTCATAATGTAATATGTCATGGACGCTAAAAGTACGTCAAGAAACTGCCAATCTAAGCTAATGAATACCCCATCTTTCCAGCGTACAACGTAGGAGTATAGTTCAAAAGTGATTTCCGAAAAAGACATAACTGTTGTAACCAGAAGTTGCAGGCTAAAGATTATGTTCAGCATGTGCACTGTTTTACTAACTGTCAAATGCTGTTTCTTCAGGGTCTTAAGTTCTATTAGCAGAAATTGATTTTTCTGCTGAATTGACCTGTGGACACTTAGCTTCATATTGTTTACCACGAGTCTTTGCACATGTATCAGATTGTCATTGATTCTCTTGAAACAAGTCTTTAATACCCAAACACAATTTATGTACAACATATTCATTTGAAATATCAGCATTTCCAAGTACATTGTGAATAGTAGGATCAAGACTTTTGAACAAGTCAATTCAAACATCTCTGTTTTAGAAAAATATATGCACAGTTGCACAACTATCAAGATGGTACCAAACACATCCTTGACATGAATCAATCTGGATAACTTTTGATAGGATTCTTTAGGTAGTTTTGAAGAAATTTCTAAAATAGTCTGTAGCAAATGCATTCGTGGACTGCTCAAAATATGCGTGATAATTACAATAACACCACTAAACGTATAGAAACTTAAGGCTCCAAAATTTCTGGTTACATCTCCAAAGTTGATTATTTTAGAAATGGCAATTCCATGAATAATTGTCAGATATAAAGCACAGCAGACACAGATAATTACGGCCGACAGAACGTAATGTAGTTTTGAAGCCTCAAAAGTTGAAGCGTTGATATTGTATGGAAATATTCCAAGGAAGCGGCAAATTGTGAAACAGGGATACATTAAAGATTGGAAGTCCGTGGCGTGGAACAGCCACCATCTTTTCCACATTTTGTCGTTGGCATGCCTTTGGATTTTTGAACTAAACATGGCTAGCAAAAATTCATCATAGAATCACAGTGTTGTAAGCTATAACCTAAACATTATTAATCACTGTATTACTACACATTATACACTATATTAATGCAGGTGTAATTGTTGCTTTTAAGTGTAATCAAATCTGTTTCTTCATAACAAGTATAAATTGACAGAAAGTCGTTGTCTTACACTCCAAGAGTTTAAGTTCGAAACTACGAGGAAATACTGTGTCAACCATAAAGACAAAGCTGAAAGAGTTATTTGTTACTTGTGAGGTAACCATGACGTTCTTCGATCGATATATATCACTCTTGGGGTGAATTAGATAAGGAAATAATTAATTGTGTAGTCGTTTAGTCATGGAATCCACTTTAACTATGATTGCATTTTAAATTATTACAAACGATATTATGTACATGAGATTTTGTAAATACGGTTAAAGAAAATAAAAATAAATTAATTACGCGGTATTTAATAAAATAAAACAATATACAGTACCTATACCTTTTGAATCAGAATTTAACATTTTAATTACATTTATCGCTGTACATCAATATGTACAGAAATCATATTTAATTTTTACTTAATATTTAATTTATTTTTATTTTAATGAGAAAAAACAATAAATGGAAAATTATATTAAACTATGTACTTAATTAATGAATGTAGTCAATGTGTATAGAACCATTTTTTTAGAAGTAAATTTATTATACCGTATATTTAAACAAATAAAATGTTAAACATTTATTTATAATTGGATATCAACATCTTGTTTATCTATATATCTTCCAATTAGATTTTCGTAATATTGTTTGTCATCCTCTCGCAAGAATATGACATGCGCATAAATTGAAACAATATTAATATGTACGTGGCGATACTACCCACTATCTAAAAACCAAATAAAAATAAACACAATTTATATTTACTATTAATTATTATTAAAGTTGTGATTATTGGTAAATAATCAGTGTATATGGTCAATCACTCACCTTAGTGAGAAGCTTTGCATTCACAGTAAGACCTTTCGTAGAAAATATATTTTCGCAATGAAGCGTTTGCAAGGAAAATATTTGTAACTGTAATTGCGAAATCATTAAATATATAAGATTAAAAAATAATCATGCATCTCGTAAATTAAATTGAAAATTATATTAATGTACGAGACACAATTAATACAATTGAAAAGAAATATTACGGTAGGATTTTATGGTATTACCTCATTTTTTATTTGCTTATCAGTACAGTTGTTAAACACATCGTGAATGGATGTGCTGATTTGCAAAGCTTGATCTTTGCCCGTTTCACAGGCCCACACTATTAATATTGTTCTTGTACTATTGTACACGACACAATAGAAAATATATATACCATTTAATATTTTCTCCAGTGTATTCATTTTATTATGCGGCCAATGAAATATGTACTCGTAGTAAAATAGATAGACTGTGATATCGAAGAAGACTATGATTAATGTAGCAAGAAGGTGCAAACTAAAGATCATATTCAGCATTTTTACTGTCTCGCTGATCATTAAATGTTCCTTTTTCATAGCCCTGAGTTCCATTATTAGAAATAGATTTCTTGGCTGGTGGATTAGTCTAGAGTCATATGGATCATTATTCGTCACAAGTTCTTGCATGTGCACCAAGTTATCGTTGATTCTTTTAAAACAAATCTTTAATACACAAATGCAATTCATATACAGCATATCCATTTGAAATACCACTAAATAGAGATATAATTGAAACCCTAAATTCAGGTCCAATATATAGACGCATAAGAATGCATGTCCAACTAGATAAAGAAAACCAAAGATATCCTTAGCATGGATCAGCATAGATAGCTTTTGATAGGTTTCTGAGGATAGTCTTGAAGATAGTGTCGATATAGTCTGGAGCAAGCGCATTCGCGGACCGCTTAAAATGAACATAACGATTATTATAAAAGTACCAAACACAAAGTTGCAGCTATTCACAAGAATCCAAGGTACTTGTATCATACTGATTTCTCCACGTAAGGAATAACCAAACAATGTAATCAATGTGTAAATAACACAAACACAAGTAATGACAGTCAACAAAATATAGTGTGGTTTTGAAGCCTTGAATGTTGAAGCATCAATCTTATATGGAAATATACCCAGAATATGGCAGAACGTGAAGCAAGGATACATCAGGGATTGAAAATCCTTGGCGTGGAATAATCGCCATTGTTGTTCTTTTTGTCCGTCTTTTGATTTTCCTTGAAAGTTCGATGACAAATTAAACATGATCAGCGATACGCCGTGGGTGATTATGAAAAATCATATCACAACAACCTATAATTGTTGATTACGTTATTAATACTCTTTGGTATTAATATGAATATTATTGAATTAACTTGGTTTTTTTTAAATGCAACGTTCGTTATTTTTATCTTTCCATGCACGTAAACCGGCACAAACTTTTTGTCGTTGTTGTACACTCGCTAACTTTCAATTTGATACTGCGAATAATTGCTGTTTTGACGCAAGATTAAAAAGATAGTTTGTTTGGCATGGCGTAACCATGGCGTTCTTCATTTGTCATTACTGTATGAAAAACAAATGTGTACTTCTAATGACAATGAACCAATTCAATTATGTGTATGGAAATGACAATATCCCATCGCTAGCTTTCAAACACATTCATAATTACTTATTTCCTAATGACTATTTCCAAAATGCATATTTACATTGTGCATATGAGATATATGTGATCTTTATTATATTACACCGTTCTGCTATTTTAATTGGTTTTAATTTTAATACAAGGACAAGTAAAAAAACAATCTCTTGTATATTTAATAAAAACAAAGAGACATTCTTTAAGAACATTTTTATTACATTTCAAATGTATTAATTAAACTTAAACGAATATTAAAAATGTATATACTTATACGTAATTATATTAATATATATGTATATGCATATAGAAGGTTTTATTGTACATTTAGATGTGTACAAAAGTATATGTGTGTGTGTATATAAAATGTTTCGATTATATTTTATTAACAAGGGCAAAAAAGAGTATTTGTAGTATTAAAACAATTTCTTTTTATGATGTATCATATCTTTTTCAATTAGGTTGTGTAACACTGATTGCTGCCTTTTCGTCGCAAGAATGCGACATATTTAAGAATTGTAGTAGTATTAATAAATACATGGCAATAGTACCCACTGTCTAAAATTAAAATAACAAATGTAATGCATATTTTATTAAGTAAAACAAATAATTGATTACTTACTGTTGCAAGAAGCGTTGAATCTACAGTAAAACCTTTCGGCGAAAATATATTTTTGCAATGTAACGTTTGTAAAGAAAACAACTGCAACTAGAATATTAGACCATAAAATAATTAAACCCAAAGAAATAATACAGATCAATTCTACGACTTCAGATTTAACGTTTTGAGAAACCGCGGTAGAGAATGGTACATTATCAGAAAAAATATATATGTAATAGATAAAATCACATCCTTACCTCCTTTTTTATTTGTTTATTATCAGTACTGTTAAGTAAATCGTGAATGGTGGTAACAATCCCTTCGGCCTGATTTTTAGTTGTCTCACAGGCCCACGCAAGTAATACTATTTTTACACAGTTATACATCATGGCCGTTAAAAGCCTATCAAGAAGGTACCTGTCTAAACTAATAAATATTCCATCTTGCATATTCCAGTGCACCGCATTGAAATATAAGTCAAAGATGGTAACACAAAAGCATAAGATTATACTGGCAAGCAATGGCAGACTGAAGACTATATTCAACATTTGCACCGTATTGCTGATCATCAGATGCTGCTTCCTCAAAGTCTGTAATTCTACTAGCAGAACTTGATTTCTGTGCACACGAGAGATTAATCCGAGATTGCATTGTTTCATGTCGTTTATCATAAGTTTTTGTATGTGCGCCAGATTGTCATTAATTCTTTTGAAACAGGCCTTTAATACACAAATATAATTTATATACAGCATATTTATTTGTAATTCCAGTAGAGCAGCGTATACTGTAAATATTGTAATCACCAATATGATATTTAATGAAAGTGGCGTTTCAGTGAAATTTAATTGATATGTTAGTAGTTTATAAAAATTTAGATATATGTTTATAATCCTCAAAATAATAGCCAATATATCTTTGGTATGGATGAATCTGGATAGCTCTTGATAGGAATCCGGTGGTAATATTGCAGAAATCTCCAACATAGTCTGTGACAAGCGCATTCGTGCACTGTTCAAGACATGCGTGATAATTACTAAGAAATCGCTCGACACATAGTAAATGGTAACTTGAAGCTTCTTTGTAACACTTCCAAAGTCCATTTTCGAAGCAATAATACCATGAATTAATATTACGTCGAAAACGCAATAAATACAGCTGATCACAATTGATAAGATGTAGCACGGTTTCGACGCTTCGAAAGTTGAAGCCTTCAGTTTGTACGGAAATATCCCGAGAATGCGGCAAAAGGTGAAGCAGGGATACATTAAAGATTGGAAATCCGTGGCTTGGAACAGCCCCCATCTTTTCCACATTTTGTCTTTGGCTTGTCTTTGCATTTTCAACCTACGATTAGCAGAAATTCGTTAGAAAATAACAATCTATATCAATTTATAATATTAACCAATCACTTTAACATTAATATATGTGTAATTACGAGAGTCTTTTTTTAACAATAAGTACAGCAAATTTATAAATTTTGTATCTACGTACTGTCTACACTTGGTGAATTTAGGTTTAAAACTACGAGTAAATGCTGCGTCAAGCAGGGAGAAGCTGAAGAAGCCATTTGTTAGTCGTAAAGTAACCATGGCGTTCTTCGACCGGCACTTATATCTTGAATACATAAAGTGATTAATTGCGTAAAGAAATGCTATGTAATTGTTGTAACGTGTGACTTAATAAATTATACATGTGTACACATAAAATATTATAAGAACCACTTTGTAATATCCACATAAAGCACTTTACGACGTCCATTAGTAACGGAAAATTAATAAGTGATGCCAAAGTATTAAGATATTTTACATTTTAAAAACAATAGGACCCTTGTTATAGATAATAAATATTAGGTATGTAGAGAATTAAAATTATAATGTAAGAGCCACAATTCTTTAAAAAGTGAAATAATGAAAAATATTTTGGATAATTTAACACTGAATACATTCAAAAAAAGTTTCTCCAAAAATTAATAGGGAAAAACTTATTAAAAGTATTAGAAAATCGTAGGAAACAAAAAAATTTTTAAGATTTTTTATGCATTTAAAAATTAAAATAAATCTACATATTTATCTACATATTCTCAAGATTAATAAATTCAGAAACACATTTTCATGTCAAATAAATTACTCATATTTTACATTTTAATCACAAAGAAAGGGCATTAATAAAATAATTATGAAAAGCATGGAAATTGTCTTTATGGCAATATGTTGAGGCTGTAACAAATAATTTTTAAGAAAGCTTTATTTTATCATTGATAAATAAAAGCTTATAACAAGTGCAACTATATCTTTAATAAAAATATTTAAAATGTACCGGAATTTATTAAACACAATATTTGTAAACAATTACTTTATTACATGTATCATTTTATATTTAAGCAAAATGTTAAGCAAAATAAGAGTTAATATTTTTAATTAACTGTTAATATATTATACATGTATATGAAATAAGAATTTCATAATGCCACTTAATCATTTAATATTTTACATTTGTATTGAAATGTAAGTATAAAATATTAAATGATTATGTTTTACTTACAGCTATGAAGAGTATGTCATTATATAATAATTGAATTGTCGGGAATTGTGGGAGTGAAACAACAATTCTGGAGTTTTTAGAGTTTATGGTTTATATGTACAGATAGTACAGGCATGGCTAGGTGGTACGAAAGAAGATAAGGTTCTTTTCACAAGTGAGAAATCTCTATATGGTCTATACTGCTCTCTGTAACGCTCGACTAGGAAAAAGTTTCGGCCTCTCTCAGGCAACGGGGACACTCGATCTCCGTGGTCTATACTTTTGCAAGTACTAATTCGTAATGAATCGTGTCGTCGAAACACGTTGCTACCCAAAACAGTATCTGATTGTTACCGATCGATTCACACGTTGAAACGCTGATTGCAGCATGACATCCAAAAAGACGCACGACGCTTAGCAACGCGAGAATCAACAGTCTAGCCCTAGCTCGAGATACCGTAGTAGCCCCACTATTCGTCGCAACAATAATCAAGCATTTTTAATACGTTTATTTGTTTAATTATGTGTTTTATTAGATTACTTCCGTAATATTGTTTGCCGCCTCTTTCTCGCAAGAGAAATACATAAATTGCAACATTATTATTACATATGTGGCAATGCAACCCACTAACTAAAACAAAAATTAAGAAAGTAATCAATGCATATTCCAGCAATCATTTACTAATAAAAATAATAATTATAACTTAACAAATGAGTCATATGACCACTCGCTTACCTCAGCGAAAAGTTTTGCATCCACGGTGAGACCTTTTGCACCAAATGTGTTATTGCTATGAAGTATTTGCAAGGAAAATAATTGTAACTGCAATCGTAAAACATTAAATTTATGATGTAAAAATAGAACTACAAATCTGATAAATTTGATATATCAAAGATCATTTTAATACATGGTGTATTAATATAATTTAAAATAAATATAAATGATTAATATTTTACATCACAGTACAGTACCTCATATTTGACCTGCTCATCGGTGGTGATGTTAAACACATCGTGAATGGACACGCTCATTTGCTGAGCCTGACTTTTGCCTGTCTCGCAGGCCCATGTTATCAATGCCATTCTTATAATACTATATAACATGTATGTAAGAAGGCATGCGTGAGTCACTACACCCATTGACCCATGAGAAAGGAAAAAATATATGCAGACTATTATGTAGTAATACAAAGTAAAGGTGACACTGGAGAAGGCCAGGAGAACTGTAGCAAGAAGCTGCAAACTGAAAATCATGTTTAGCATCTGTACTGTATCACTGATTGCGAGATGTTCCTTCTTCAGAGCTTTGAGCTCCATGATCAGAAACTGATTTCTCTGGACATGACAGTTCAATCTAGAGTTATGTGACTCATTATTTACTATGACACTTTTCGTCAGATTGTCATTGATTCCTTTAAAACACGCCTTTAATACACAAACGCAATTCATATAGAACATATCCATCAGAAACACCACTAAATTGATATACATTTGATATAAGTAATCTGTATTTAATTCATATTTCATTGTAGGAAATAACAATGCAGGCACAACTAGTAAAAAACCGATGATATCCTTAGTATGAATCAGTTTAGATAACTTCTCATATGATTCCACTGGTAGTCTTGAAGAAATCTTCAATATAGTCTGTAGCAATCGTAGCCGCGGACCAGTCAAAATAAATGTGACAATCACTACGAAACCGCCAAACACAAAAACGAAGCCATTCGCAAGAATCTCGGGTAAACTTATCATATTGAGTTTTCCAAAGAAGGAAATATTGAACAGAATTATCAATGTGTAAATACCAAAAATGCAGGTAACGACAGTCGACAAAATGTAGTATGGTTTTGAAATTTCAAAATTCGAAGTGTTCATCTTATAGGGAAATATTCCAAAAATACGACATAAAGTAAAACACGGACACATCAGTGATTGTAAATCCTTGGCTTGAAATAATCGCCATTCTTCTTTTTTTTGTTTGCGACGGGGTTCTTCGTGGTAATTTATTGACAAATTGAACATGATCGACGACTTGTCACGAGAAAACAGTAGAATAAATTATAAACAATAAATGATTAATTATAATCCACTTTGTTATAAGTATGTGTATAATCAAGAAAGTTCTTTTTCTAAGTGTACTCTTTCGTTATTTTTGTCTTTCTATGTACACAAACCGATACTGAATTCTTGCCAATGTACACGCTACGAATTTAATTTCAAAACTGCCACAAATTGCTGTCTTGTACAGTGACAATACAAGATAAAAGACATTTTGTTAGGCGCGATGTTACCATGGTATTCTTCGATTCTCAATTATCATTTATATGTATATGAAGAAAGAATATATAATTGTACTTTGTATGTACCTGTCGATGACTAGCTTTTTACAATGCTTTCACAATATGTATCTATTTCTTTTCCTAAGGAAATGTTCCATGTAAGATATTCAACATCTTTTGCTCGATTACGTTATATGAATTTAATATTCTCTGTTAGTTATATCAGCACACACACATTTCTACATATTATATATATTATATAATATTGTGTATCTTTTTTAATTACTATTATTTGTCCTTTTATAGCAAGAATGCGACATATTTAAGTACTGCAGTAGTATTAATAAATACGTGGTAATAGTACACACTGGCTAAAATTAAAATAATAAATATAATACATATTTTATTAAGTAAAACAAATAATTGATCATTTACTGTTGTGAGAAGTGTTGAATCTAGACTCACATTTTCATATTAAATAAATTTTTCATATTTTGACCACAAAAAAGGGCATGATAATAACTCGTCAAAACACGTTGCTACTCAAAAAAGTATCTGATTGTTGCCGATCGATCCACACGTTGAAACGCTGATCGCAGCATGACATCCAAAAAGACGCGTGACGCTTAGCAACGCAAGAATCAACAGCTTAGCTCGACAAGATACCTTAGTAGTCCATCTATTCGTCGCAACAATAATCAAGTATTTTTAATACGTTTGTTTGTTTAATTATGTGTCTTATTAGATTACTTCCGTAATATTGTTTGCCATCTCTTTCTCGCAAGAGAAAAACTTGAATTGAAACATTATTATTATATATGTGGCAATGCAACCCACTATCTAAAATAAAAATAAAGAATGTAACCAATGCATATTCCAGCAATCATTTAGTAATAAAAATAATAATTATACTATTAACAAATGTATCATATGACCAATCACTTACCTCAGCGAAAAGTTTTGCATCCACAGTGAGACCTTTTGCACCAAATGTGTTATTGCAATGAAGTATTTGCAAAGAAAATAGTTGTAACTGCAATCGGAAAACATTAAATTTATGATGTAAAAATATAATTACATATCTGATAAATTTGATATGTCAGAAATCATTTAAATGTATAATAGATGGTGTTTTTTGCATTAATATAATTTAAAAGAAATATGAATGATTAATATTTTACATCATAGTACAGTACCTCATATTTGATTTGCTCATTAGTGGTGATGTTAAACACATCGTGAATGGACACGCTCATTTGCTGAGCCTGATTTTTGCCCGTCTCGCAGGCCCATACTATCAATGTGATTTTTATAGTACTACATAACATGTACATAACAAAGCTTGTGTGATGCAATACATTTCTTGGCACATCATTAAACAAAAGATGCAGACAGAACAGTATGTAGTAATACAAAGTAATGGTGACAATGGAGAAGACCATGACAACTGTAGCAAGAAGATGCAAACTGAAAGTCATGTTTAGCATCTGTACTGTATCACTGATTGCGAGATGTTCCTTCTTCAGAGCTTTGAGCTCCATGATCAGAAACTGATTTCTCTGGTCATGATAGTTCAATCTAGAGATATGTGACTCATTATTTTCTATGACACTTTTCATGTTTGTCAGATTGTCATTAATTCTTTTAAAACACGCCTTTAATACGCAAACGCAATTCATATAGAACATATCCACCAGAAACACCACTAAATCGGTATATATTAGATAGAAGTAATCTAGAGTCAACGCAAATTGGATTGTAGGAAAGAACAATGCAGGCACAACTACTAGAAAACCGATGATATCCTTAGTATGAATCAGTTTAGATAACTTCTCATATGATTCCACTGGTAGTCTTGAAGAAATCATCAATATAGTCTGAAACAATCGTAGCTGCGGACCGGTCAAAATGAATGTGACAATCACTATGAAACCGCCAAACACATAGACGGTGCAATCCGCAAGGATCTCGGGTAAACTTGCCATATTGAGTTTTCCAAAGAAGGAAATATTGAACAGAATTATCAATGTGTAAATACCAAAAATGCAGGTAACGACAGTCGACAAAATGTAGTATGGTTTTGAAATTTCCAAATTAAAAGCGTTTATCTTATACGGAAATATTCCAAAAATATGACATAATGTAAAGCACGGATACATCAGTGATTGTAAATCCTTGGCTTGAAATAATCGCCATTTTTCTTTTTTTTGTTTGCGTCGAGGTTCTGCATGGTAATTTATTGACAAATTGAACATGATCAACGATTTGTCATGAGAAAACAGTAGAATAAATTATAAACAATAAATTATTAATTATTAATCCACTTTGTTATTAACATGTGTATAACCAAGAAAGTTCTTTTTCTAAGTATAATCTTTCGTCAGTTTTGGCTTTCTATGTACATCGATACTGAATTCTCGCCAATGTGCACTCTACGAATTTAATTTCAAAACTGTCGCAAAGTGCTGTCTTGTACAGTGACAACACAAGATAAAAGATATTTTGTTAGGCGTGATGTAACCATGGTATTCTTCGATCATCAATTATCATTTATATGTATATGAAGAAAGAATATATAATTGTACTTTGTATGTACCTGTCGATGACTAGCTTTTACAATGCTTTCATAATATGTAGCTATTTCTTTCCCTAAGGAAATGTTCCATATAAGATATTTGACATCTTTTGCACGATCACACAATGTCAATTTAATATTCTTTGTTAGTTGTATATCAGTACACATTTCTGCACATTATATAATACTGTGTATCTTTTTTAATTATTATTAATTGTCCTTGTATCGCAAGAATGCGACGCATTTAGAAATTGTATCAAAATTAATAAGTGCGTAGTAATGTTTCCCGCCATCTAAAAATAAAGCAAAGTATATAAGCAATAGGTATTTTATTAATTGGAACACATTAATTGATTATTTTTTTATATATTACTTACTGCTGCGAGAAGCTTTGCGTCCACAGTGAGGCTCTTTACCGAAAATATATTTTCGTGATGCAGTATTTGTAAAGAAAATAGTTGCAACTGCAATGTCAGATCATAAAATAACTAAATGTAAGAACGAAAAGATAAAATTGAAAAACGCAATTACATTCCAGTACAATCTAAATATGTTATTTTTATACACATAGATGTGTAATTTGGTAAAGCACTTTTTACGCGCTTCTTTTAGTTTAAAGTCACGACACGTCACTTAATAAACGTCATTTATACATTTCTGGCCGTTTAGGAATAAAATCCTTTTAAACAACAAGAAATGTGTAACATATATTAGTTAGATTTAACAACATAAAGCACATATTTAGAATAATTTATAAACATAATTGTATTTTTACCTCTTTCTTAATCTGCTCATTATTGGTACTGTTGAGTGCGTCGTGAACGGTGGTGCTGATCTCTTGAGCTTGATTCTTGACAGTCTCGCAGGCCCACATAAGTAATATAATATTTATAACGTAATATCCTATTGCCGTTAAAAGGGCGTCGACGAAGTATATATCAAAGTTAATATATATTCCATCTTTCCATCTTACTACACGGAAATACACTTGAAAAGTGACGTTACAAATGGACATAATTATAATAGCAAGGATTTGCAAACTGAAGATTATATTCAGCGTTTTTACAGTGTTGCTAACCATCAGGTGCCATTTCATCAGGATCTTCAATTCGGTTAGCAAAAATTGATTTCTCGGCATATGGCAAATTGAACTGGAACCGCGAGGTTGTGTATCGTTTGTCATGAGAATTTGCATATACGCCAAATTGTCATTAATACTTTTGAAACAGGCCTTTAATACACAAACACAATTTATATAGAACATATTTATCTGAGATACCACCATATAGAAGTATATTTCGAACACTGCGACAATCCAATCACTCATTTTATAGTTAGATACCCCATATAGAAATAGAGTTGTTTGCACAATTAAGAAGATAATACTTAAGATATCCTTCGCGTGAACTAATCTGGATAGCTTTTGATACGATTCCAAGGATAGCTTAGAAGAAACTTCTAATATAGTCTGTAGCAACTGCATTCGTGAACCACTCAAAATGTATGTGATGATCACTATGATACCGCAGAACATATTGTAAAAGATAGCTTCAAGATTTCTGATTGTGTCTCCCAAATTGTATTTAGACATGATAACGTAGTAAATGAATACCACGTCAAAAGCACAGCAAGCACAGACAATAATGGTCGATATTATGTAGTGCGGTTTTGAAAACTCGAAGATCGAGGTATTAATCTTATATGGAAACATTCCGAAAATACGGCAAAACGTAAAGCAAGAGTACATTAAGGATTTGAAATCCGTAGCGTGGAATAAGAACCATCCTTTTTGCATCTTGCTCTTGGCATATCGTTGGATTTTCGAATTGAACATGATTAACAGAAATTCGTGGAAGAAAAATAATCAATATCATGATTTATAGCCTGAATGTTATTAATTAAAACACTTTAGGATTAATATCGATATGATTTAAGAAGTTCTTTTTTCTAAATACAATCTTCCAGTTCGTCTATTCGTAACAAGTATAAATGATATGGACTCCGTTTCTACACCTGACGAATTTAAGTATACAACTATGAGCACATACTGCGACAAGTAGGGACAAAGGTACTGAAGTTTGTTAGTCATAAAGTAACCATGGTATCCTTTGATTGACATTTATTGCTCTTGGAAATGGATTACAAGGAATATGTATAATTATTGTGACATATGTTTCCTTGAATTATATGTGCATATGTGACATAGGAAGCATAAATTTTACCATATCCGCATAAACCAATGACTTTAAGATATGCATTAATAGATAATATATATATAATATAAATTATAAATATGTAAATACAAGATATTTCTCCTATTTTCATATAGAAAATTACAATTATATATCTACACATTTAACAATAAAGTTTATAATCTCTACAAATTCTTACAGTATTGAAAATAATAATATGGTATTCAATAATAACTTATATTAGCTGGCTTATTTATATTAACTTGGTATTCAATTTGTCGTAATTTTAATGTAAGAACAATCAGAAAGTTAGATTATATGAATTGTATCGGTTATTTATGAAGTACATATAACTTTACATGGTGTACGTAAACTTTGCGTGATAATAATTTATTAATAATGACAAAAATAATATTGTTAATTTTGAAATACACTTTTTATGTGATTATATACTTGTTACTCAATTAGATTATCTAACACTAGTTGTTGTCTTTCCGTCACAAGAATGCGACACATTTAAGAATTGTATCAATATTAATAGATACGTAGTAATATTACCCACTATCTGAAAGTAAAACAAAAATGTAATAGGTATTTCATTTTCGATAAGTTAATTGAAATAAATAATTTGTTACTTACTACTGTAAGAAGCGTTGCATCGACAGTGAGACCTTTCGTCGAAAATGTATTTTTACAATGTAGTGTTTGTAACGAAAATAAATGCAACTGCAATGTTAGATTACAAAATAATTAAATACAGGAAGTTAGAATTAATAAACGTTAAATCGATTGAATCAATTTAATGTTTAAAAAATTATATTAGTACTGTATATTTTTGGAACATTTATAATATATAGACAAAATTACATTATTACCTCGTTTTTTATTTGCTCGTCATTGGTGCTGTTAAGTAGATCGTGAATAGTGATAACGATTTCTTGGGCCTGATTCTTACCAGTCTCGCAGGCCCATACAACTAGTGTTATTTTAAAAATGTTAGATGCCATACTCATTAAAAACACATCAATCAACTCTTTATTCAAACTAAAGAACACTCCATGTTGCCATCGAACTATGTGGAAATACAATCCAAAAGTGATAGTAATAAAGGTTGCGGTTACAGTAGCCAGGAGTTGCGGACTGAAGATTATATTTAGCATTTGTACTGTGTCGCTAACCATTAGATGTTGCTTTTTTAAGGTTTTGAGTTCAATCAACAAAAATTGATTTCTTTGCACGAGACAAATTAAGCTAGGAGCAGGTTGCTTTACATCGTTTTTCATAACGTTTGGTATATGTGCCAAATTGTCATTAATTCTCTTGAAACAGGCTTTTAATACACAAACGCAGTTCACGTACAACATAGTAATCTGGAATCCCAGCAAGCTGAGGTATATTGTGAATACTACTATCAGAACAGGTATACCGTCCAGTTGAAGCATCTGTATTTTAGTGCAATTTATATATATATGTATTACGTGGAGGATAATGCCAAAT